ATGCAATAGTGTAGATGGTATGATCCTACTTCAGTAAACCACAGCAGGGCATGGTGGCACACACCTGTAATTCCCTCATTTAGGAGACAGAGGTAGGAACTGCCAAGTAAAGGCCAGAGCATACATAATGAAACCTCTTCTGAAAAAAAAATTTTTTTTTTTTTTTTACATTTTTAAATTAAAGGAAGAAAATCAACTGATAAACATCTTTGATAAATTTATTACTCATATACTACATGAGCAAAACTTCTGAAGGCTGGGACTGTGAATTTACCAATACCTTTTTAATATTCCTTTGAAATTCTTTGTGACGCACAGGTAGTGTATAAAATAAGTGCTGCACGCTGACTGTTGTTCCTTTGGGTCGGGGGTAGGGAATTTTCTGGGTGATTTTCCCATTGTGGTCTAACACCAGTCGAGTCCCAATGCTTGCAGACACATGGCAGGTAGATACAGAGACATCACTGTAAGAAAATGTCAGGGACAACATGTCCAGTTAGAGATGCACAAGGGTTACTGGGATGCAGCTCAGAGAAGTAGAGCACTTGCTTCCAACTCATAGTTCAATCCCTAGCATTCTCTGTGTGGAGAAACCTAAAGAACACACAAGGGTTAGATGCAGAAAACCTTTTCTGCTTTCCTTTCTCTCAGAACTTTCTTGAAAAGGTGCTATTCTTCTGAGATGATTTAGGTTTTAATAAGTAAGGCATCACCATAAGACCTAGAGTTGGCCCCAAAGGATGGTGAGACAGTTTTATAAACACTTTGTTTTCGTGAAGGATTTCATTTTTTAGGTTGAGTTTTAAAATAATGAAGGATCTCAAATTCTATTCTCAAAGCTTTATTCCTCAATTTAGTTACTAACAAAACTTTCACAAACAGCTTTCATTAAATCTTCTAAAACTGAAAAACTAAAATTGATGGTACTTAAAATTTATCATCTATCATTATTTTTGCAATACTACTGGGTTGACCCCAGACATCACGTACTGTAGCAAGCACTCTGCTGCTAAGCTACACCCTCAGCCTTTGTGATTATTTCAAAGTTAATAAATAACTGTTTTAAGACAGGCAGTGACTTTTTTATGGTACTATGTGCTTCATTTCATTCCTTTATTTCTCACAGTGGCAGGTAGATAAAAGAGAATTCAGAAGATAGTGTAAGATATTCCAACAGTAAAGGGAAAGCCTCAAAGCTTCTAATGATGCTTATACATTTTTAGAAGTTTTTACATAAAGCATCAAATTGATAAACATAAGAAGCATCACCTCAGTGCACACAGTGAGCTCAGAGCTTCCCCCCGAAAGCCAAACGTTTCAACCTGAGTCAGGTCAGCAAATTCTTGAATCTTAGAAGTGTGATGTTTTAGAGCTGTAAGAGAGTGGAAAGAAAGACCAAAAATGTCTTAAGTGATAGAGCTAAGGACAAATACAACATCTATCACAATATGTGGTCTAAAACAGTGTCACTTAAACCTCTGCGACAAATGGAAACGATTGCTTTATTATTTGGAACATTTATCTTACCTAGACCTTCAAAGTTTTCTTCTTCTACCCCACATCCATTGTCTGAAACTTCAATGAGGTCCACCCCATAGTCTTTAAGCCTTAGATCTGAAAAATTCAACATATTTATTTCTCAGTGATTAATCCATGCAAAAAGATTTGATGTTGACAATAGTCATAACACAAAATACAAACTTAGTAACCATGTCTATGCTTTTACTTAAAGGTACTGCTGTCATTTCGAGGCGGGTGTGTACATGTATGTATGTGGCACTGAAGATCAAGCCTAGGATGCTACAGATGCTAGGCAAGCACTCTACAACAGAGCCACAACCCTAGCTCTGCATGTTTTATTTTTGAAAGTCCTTCTGGGTTATTTGTAAACCCAGATTAAATAGTTGGTTTATTATTATTATTTCAAAAGGAATGCTTTTAAAATAGTCATTAAGAAGAACAGGCGCAGGTTGGAGGGATGGCTCAGCAAGGCTAGGCTCACAACCAAAAATATGAACAGGCTCTGCAATCAAGAATTCCTAGATCACATTTTATGACCTTTATAGCCTCTATAAAATCAAATTTCTGGTACTTCTGTTTCATCCTCTCTATACAGAGATAGTAACTCCCAAATCATAATAGTCTACATACTAAAGACATTCCATATATAATTCTTAGCACAATGCCTACACACAGTGTAATTTAATTCTTACTCCATGGCTAAATATTAGGCACAGAATTGTTGTATAACAGTTTTCTCTGATTTGAAAGATTTCCTTCTGGATGGAGGGGGCTCATGAGACTCTAGAAGTCAATAAATGTCACAAGTCTGGGGAAGGTGAAACTGCAAGGCTGGCAAAGCTCCTGGGATCACCACTCAAGCGGGGGCAGGGGTTTGGTAACAGTTGCTTTTGAGTCATTCCTGATCCTATAAATAACCCCCTCCTCCACATTTCTGTTAATAACATCAATTAAAAACTCATTAATTCAACAAGTTGGAATGTGGTATACCTGTTACTTTGGTCTGTCAAAATTCTCTATCAATAATGAGTGGATCTGCGTTTGTTATATTTCCCCAGGAAAAGTCTCTCACACAACAACTAAGTGCTAACTTCAGAATAATAATTATTGGCATGGCAGTATTTGATTATTTTCTACCAGTAACGTTTCTTAAATAACACAATGACTATTTCTTGTTGCTTAAAACTCTTCCAAACTTACCAATACTGGTAGCACCAGCATCCACGCTATTTTCTATCAATTCCTTCACAGCAGTGCTTAAGCTGAGTACCACCTGCCCAGAACAAATTTGATGGACTGACCTTCCATCAATAGGCTTGATGGCCTTAGCACGTTCTGTACTAAAAAATAAATAAATAAATAAATAAATAAATAAATAAAATAAAATTGTACAAACACAAAGCAAATATTTATACAAAGCAGGTAACTTATTTTCACTATGGTAAATGATTCATCTGTTACTAGCCTAATCATTCCTTTCTTTCTTTCTCTCTCTCTTTTGAAACAGAGTTTCTCTGCTTAACAACCCTGGCTGTCCTGGAACTGGCTTTGTAGACCAGGCTGGCTTTGATCTCACCAGCTGCAACTGCGCCCGAATGCTGGGACTAAAGACATGTACCACCACTGCCCGGCAATCCCATTCATTCTTTATATGAGCACACTCATCATCCTTGCAGATAAGAATGTTCTACAAACTTTAGACATCTGTTAATAGATATTTCAAACTATCCTATATTGAAATTCTAATTATACATTATACCTGGAGAAGACATGTATCCCTCAAGCTACAGATCAATAAGCTTTTATGAAAATGAGATTTTTGTTCTTGAAAAGTTAAAGCAACTTTTTTTTCTTCTACACAATTTGTAAAACATTAAAGTTGCTTTTGAAAACTGAATCCAAATACAAGCTGCCTACACTGCTTGGAGAAAGTCTTCAAAGCTAACGTCTGAGACAAACGCTCTCCACACAGCCCAGACTGGCTTAGCATTCAAGTTCCTCACCTCAGCCTTCCAAATGATAGGATTTGGAAGCTCAAGTTTCTTGCCGTTGTACTGGCTTCAGAGTTGAACCACTGGCCTGTTTCCAATCTATCCTTGCTATCATTCATTTTGGTTTGCTTTTTGTTTCTTTTGACACAGGCGGGCTTCAAACTTCCTATGTAGTCAAGTGTAACTATGAACTCCTGATCCTCCTGTTTCTAACCACCAGTGCTATAATTACAGGTATGGAACAAGAGCTTGGTTCCCATCAGCTATTTTTGTAATCACAAATCCAGTCAAACAATCTTCAGGGTTAAATTATTAGTGGTGCTCATTGTCTATGAGGTTCCAAGTCTTGTCATGACTAGATTCCACTTTACCGTCATCAATTCTCCTATGGTTTAGTCACAGTAAAGAATGGTTTCCTGACTGTGAAAAAGTTTCATTAAAATGTAATGGAACACAGGTGCTTCCTTAGGGGCGAGATCTTTGGGTATTTTCCATAGGGTCGGACACATACTTGACTTCCAAAAACCCAATGAAATAAATAACAAACCTCTTTTCTCTTCATTCTACCTAGCAAATTATCTCACTTGTTTGGTCCAGGGATGATTTAACCACAATACTCAGGTGTCTGAGGTTTGAGGTAGGAGTTCAAAGCCCTACTTCAAAAACAAAACAATTTCACTTGTCTATAATGTCTAACTGCAGAGGATCCCACATAAAATTTAAACTACCTCAAACTAGTTTATTTTGCAACATGTCTATTTCCGGTACTTTTAGTGTGGGGAAGTCTTTGTCACTGAATGTAACTGTGCTGACCTCGAAGATATACTTCACTGACTTTGATGACACTCGGGAGTAAGCAAATACACAGAAGCATTGCAACGTAATAAAAGCTAAAAATAATAATAAAACTATTGACTGCAAAGTCAGCTTAAGCCTCTGACTCACTGTTCAAGTCTTAATTAAAAAGGACTCAAGAAAAAAAAGAACAACCCAACGCATTCTGTCCATTGGGATTTATTTTCATGCTCTGCTTTAAATCCACGGGCCTGTGGCTTTTCAGCTTCCTCACAGAGAACTAGGCCCACCGTGAGGAGAACGCCGCTCTGGGTCTGCGAGCTTGCCCCGCGCCTCAGCCACTTTCGGCCCTTTCAAGGAGACCGAATACCGGGAACTCCAGGGAATGCGCCCGGAGAGGAGACTGCAAGCCCGGCTCACCTCGCGCCCTCGGTTAGCTCCATGGACTTAGCACTCCTCCAGTCTCAGGCACTGCAGGAAGAGTTCGCGCCGCTGCTTCCGAGGAGACGCATCTCGTGGGACATCCATTGGCTGCTTTTGACATAGAGCCCCGCCCCTTCCTGGAGGGGCGGGGAAGACACGTCAAGAGCTCTTTACTATTGATTGGCTATTTCAAAGGTCGACTTGGTGACGTCAGACCGTCCCGGCCAATAAAGATTCACAGACTTCTTTTTTTTTTTTTTTTCCTGGAACGCCAGCAGCACCGTCAGAAAGAAGGCGGCTACTGTGTGAGGTGGCCTTGGACGGCCTCTGAGCGTTTGTACCCCTCGCCCGCTACCTTCCTTCCTTTGGTTCCCACCATGCCGATGTACCAGGTAAAGTCCTATCATGGAGGCAGCGCACCTCTGCGTGTGGAGCTTCCAACCTGCATGTACCGGCTCCCCAACGTGCACAGCAAGACCACCAGCCCCGCGACCGACGCGGGCCACGTGCAGGTAGGAGCCTGCGGCCCCTGCCTAGTGCGCAGGCGCTGGCCGCGCCGCGCCCTGTCCCATTCCTTGTCCAGTCTAGTGCGCCGGCGCTATGGCTGCGTAGGGCCCTGGTCCCGACAAAATCCACCTGGATCATTGCTGCCATGGGTTCCTGTCGCGACCGCCAGCCCCACAGAAAAGTTAACAACACAAAAATTATCACTCTGAGGAATTTACAAAGCGAGCCCAGGGTCACCATAACTCAGTTTGACAGTTTAAGTGACCCATCCTTCCCGTTTGCAACTTTTCCACAGTGGTCCCGACTTTTACTGTAGCTGTGTGTTGGTTTTTGCGGTTATGTTGTTGAGTATGTATCCTTAAGCTATGTAATCTTGATGTACTGGAAGGATATAGTGTGTGTTCTCTTGTTATTTTCAGTCATTTTTGTTGGCAACAACGAAAGTGATCATGTTCTTTTACACTGCCTGCCCCCACTCATGGGCACTGGAATTTATATGTCAGCTAACATAGGCTGTAGAGGAATTCCTGGTCTAGTGAGCAGACATGTCTTCTACTTTACCTGGATAAATTGTTTTCCAAAGTGGTTATACCGGTTTATGCTGTTATTAGCAGGATAATGTAAGAATCCTAATGTTTTAATTTGCATCTCTCCAATTTCTAAGTAAGTTGAGGTCCTTTTCCCTGTTTCCTGGGAACACGAGGGCCTCTGAACAGGGATGTCTTTGAACACATGTAACCAAAGATGATCCTGAGCTCCTTCTCTGGCCTTCACCTCCCAAGTGCTGGGATTCGAAGTGTGTGCCACTCCCCTTCTATGCTAGTGAACCCAAATTTAGGAGGGCACCATGGGATACAAGGCCACTCTGGCTGCAAGATAACAGCAGCTATGTCATGCTCACAGTTTCATGAACATCTCTGAACTTCTGATTGCGATGACACCCATTCTGCTGCAGTACCAATTCCTCTAGCAGAGTATAACAACACGAATGGATAGGTAATTAGAAATCAGAGCCACACAAAGAACTGACTGCTTTTAAATATATAAAATGAAGCCAGTGGGCACCAGATCACAATTTACTCTCAGCAAGGGAACAACAAGCCAGCATTGGAGGTAGTAGTGAGGTAAAGCAGATCTTGAACATTTCGGTGTTACTCAGTATAAGAGAACCTAGATTAAGCTGGACTAGAACTCAGAAATCACAATCCTGTTAAATTCATAGTTCCTGCCTCACACTTGCTTCAGTCTGTGTTGATTCAATTTTGGATCTAGTAGCTGCTAATTTGGCCCTGATGGGATAGAGCATCCTATTGCTGTTTGTAAAAATAAGTAAGATTGCATACACAAAAATCACAACTACAAGCTGTTAAAATAGTATGGTGCATTTTGTTGCACCTCTACCCAATATTTGGGAAGTTTCATTTAAGGCCATTGTGGTTCTCTCTCTCTCTCTCTCTCTCTCTCTCTCTCTCTCTCTCTCTCTCTCTCTCTCTCCACACACACACACACTGGTGAGATGGCTCCATGAACAAAAATTTTTGGCTCCATAACTGAGTTTGATCCCTAGAATCCACACGGTGGAGAGAGAGAACTAATGCCCTCATAATGTCTGCTGACCTCCACACATATATGTATATATACATACATTAAAAAATAAAGCCTGTAGTTTGAGACTTATTCATCAGCAAGTATTATTGGTTTCTTAGTGCATGCCAGATGCTGTGATAGGCAAAAAGGACACATGAATACAATGGATGAAGTGGTTCCTCTTCATGGAGTTATATATCTTAGTAGTGAATGCTCCAGATGACCAAGATATCAGTTCTGCCTTAAAATGATTTGGGGACTTGATCACTTGTCACAGGAAGCACTTGCCCAGGGAGCTGCTTCCAAACTGAAGGATACTTCAAAACCTGAGTTTCAGGGCTAGAAAGATAGTTCAGTGCTTATGAGCACTTGTTCTTGCAGGGGGCCTGGGTGTGGTTCTCAGAATCCATAAAGAAACTTACAAATATCCAGCTCTCTCTTTTGGACTCTGGGTACTGGTGCACAAATGTGCACAGACATACATTCGAGCAAAACACCCATACACATAAGCATAATAAATGTTAAACACAAAACAAAAAAAAATCCACTGGGTTCCTTTTCCCCTTTATTTGCATAAATTATTTTCTATTGTCCCTCCTCCATCATTTCTCTGCTCATTCAAGCGTATCTTTGGAGGTATACTAAGGATGCGTGGTTGAGACAGTGTCTCACATAGTTCCTGTTAAGACAGTTAAGGCTGTCTTTAAACTCCTGCATCTTCCTGCCACAATCTCCCAAATATTGAAATTACAGGTGTGCACCACTATGGCTTAAGCAAAGTATTTTTAATTAGCCTTTTATTGAAATAAAGAATTCTGGGTACAATGAAAAGCCTAGGTAGGTATTTCACATGAGCCCAGAAGATCAAGGGCCATCCTTGACAACATATAGCAAAGACCTTCTATTTTTAAAAGTGGGGTTTTTGTTTCTTTCAGGCATGATGATGCACACCTATAATCCCAGCACACTGGACACTGAAACAGGATTGTGAATTTCAGGCCAGTTTACTCTATATAGTGAAATCATGTCTCAAAGTAAAAACAGAAGGGCTAGGGGAGGAGGTGTTCTTTTCATATCTGAATTACTTGAATGGGAAATAAACTACTTTTTTTTTTAAGTTTTGTTTTTATTCTTATTTATGTGTATATGTGTATGTCTGAGTAAGTGAGTGATGTGTGTGCCTGTGCCCGTGCCCGTGGGAACCAGAAGAGAGTGTCAGATCTCTTAGACCTGGAGTTACTAACAGTCAATGATGAGCCTCCTGATGTAGGTGCTGCGAACCAAACAACCCTTTGGAAGAGCAGCAAGCACTCCTTACTGTTAAGACATCTCTCCAGCCCCCAAAGTCATGTTCAGTCATGTTTCTTCCTTGTTATAGAGCACTGCGGCTTGATTTGCAGGACCCTTTGGGCTGGATGAAAGGAGATGGTTCTGTTGCTTCAGAGTCTTAATTTTTATTTTTTTTAAAAATCCATTTTATTTTGGTGGGGAAGAGAGTGGCTACTATGGCATCCATGTGGAGGTCAGAGGACAACTTGTAGAAGTTGGTTCTTTCCTTCCGCCATGTGGGTCTGGCTGATAGCACTCAAATTTTAGGGTTGCCAGAAAGCACCTTTATATAAGGAGCCATCTTACTGGTTCCGTGGTGTTTTTTTAGAAGGTGTAACTTTGATTGATCTAATTTAAGCTGAACTCAAGATGTTGATTTTTTTTTTTTTAGGAAACATCCGAGCCATCTTTGCAAGCCCTTGAATCCCACCAAGATGATATTTTAAAGCGCTTGTATGAGTTGAAGGCAGCAGTTGATGGCCTTTCAAAGATGATTCACACTCCAGATGCAGACTTAGATGTAACCAACATCCTGCAAGCTGATGAGCCCATACCTTTAACAACAAATACACTGGACTTGAATTTGGTGCTTGGAAAGGTGGGTTCATTATGAAAGGTGAGAAACCAGATGTCTATGGTTCCAGTGGCTTGGATTGCTAGTTTTCAGAGGCGAAGCAAAAAACTTGTTTGCTTTATTCTTTAAATGACTGCACTTAGAGCCGCTGTGGTGGCCCACTCCCAGCATGCTCTTAGGGGTTGGGTTAAGAGTATCGCGAGTTCCAGGTTACAGGGAGATCTGTCTCAAAAACAAGCCAACAAACAAATAAAATGAATGATTTCACCTGAATCACAGGTCAGGTTTACGGAGTGAGGAGTGAAGTAAGCTCTAAACCTCAAGGGATGACCAGGAGAGGGCAGAGAAGGGAGACCAGAGTCCCAGCTTCCTATAGTCCCATCTGTGTCAGCAACCTCTAAGCCCTGGAAGGGGAGGGCATCTCAGCTCCTGTTAGATGGCACTTGGCACAACAGAGCTGTCCTCCTCAACTCTGAGAAAATGGGCTGGCTACACAGATAAAAATCTTACCACCTGTCAAAATATCTGCTACAAGCCAGTTTCAGTCTTGTGCATTTGTGCTTTCCTTACATTCGCTGTACTTCGTAAGTTATAGGGGCTGGAGAGATGGGCCAGCAATGGCTGGCTGTGTTACTAACTACAAAAAATAAATGAGGTAGCATTCCTGATCAAAGTGTATAGGACTCAACTTACCTAGGGGATCAGTCCATATGCAAGGCTGTCCCATTTGTTCAATTAAGTGGTGGTACTGCTTGAAAATACAGTAAAGATGTCCAAGATCCTGCATTAGTAATCTCTAGAATTCTGAAAGTGAAGACCTAAAAAGCACAAGTGTCTTGTAGTGACTCATGAAGGGCTTTGAAAATCTTGGTGCCCCTACCTTTAGTTTGTCTTTTTGCCCATCTTCTTATCCATCCTGCATATTTTCTCACGCTCAGAGGAAGCAACTGAGACCTGACCAGTGGCCTCCCCAACCCCCGAATCTCCAAGGTGAGTCAGGAAACATGCACCATCAGGGTGCTGCCTTCTTAATGTGCTGGAAGTCTTTGCTGTGCTCATGGTGCGCAGGATGAAGTCAGGCCCCTGGACAAGTAACCTACACCCCACACTTTCATGTGCCTTTCTGTCTGTGTGCAGGTTCACACACACGTATGCAAGTACATGTGAAGCCCAGAGAACGTGCTGAGGTATTTTCTCAGGCGATGCTCATGGTGTGATTTTTTTTTTTTTTGAGATAGGAGCTCTCACTGACATGGTGTCCTATTCTGCTCTGGGACTACACTCTACACTTGAGTTTTGAAGATTGAACTCAGATCCTTAGGTTTTAAGGCAAGCACTTTACAGACTGGACTGTCTTCCCACTTTTTTCTTTTTTTTTGAGATAGGTTCTCTTGTGGCTCGAGCTGGTCCACTTTATAGCCAAATGTCTCAAATTCCTGACCCTCCTAGTCCTCTTAGAAAGTAATGAATTACAGGCTTATTTCCAGCTGCATTACCTACTGAGTTCAGTGACCTTGGATAACCTGTTTGCCTTCCCAAGACTCAAGTTTCCCCAGCTGTCAAGTGGGGGGGGGGGTCACAGCACCATCTTTAAGTAGTTGACTCAATTAAACCCCAGAAAGTTCTAAGGGAGAACACCTGGTTCATTTGTGCATACAGATGGCACTTTTGTTTCAAGGTAGGGTTTTCTGTGTATCCCTTGCTGTTCTGGAACTCTATGTAGACCAGACTGGTGGGGTCCACCTGCCTCTACCTCCAGAGTGCTGGGATGAAAGGTGTTCACTACCATACCTGGCCAGATGGCTCTTATTTACTTGAATGTTTTGATCTCTCCCTCAGGATTATGGGGCACTGAAAGACATCGTGATCAATGCAAACCCAGCCTCCCCACCCCTTTCCTTGCTTGTGCTGCACAGGCTGCTCTGTGAACGCTACAGGGTCCTGTCCACTGTGCACATACATTCGTCAGTCAAGAATGTACCTGAGAATCTTCTAAAGTGCTTTGGGGAACAGGCTAGAAAACAGTCCCGCCACGAGTATCAGCTGGGCTTCACTTTGATTTGGAAGAATGGTAAATAGTGGGCCTGGGTTGAACTCACTTAGACTACAAAAGGGTGGAAAAGTATATAGCACTGACTACAGCTGTTTGTTGTTGAGTGAAATCCTCTCCAAGTTTAGTCAGGTTATGGGGCCATCGAGAGGGAGGTGGTAAGTCTTGGTACCAGAGTACCCCCAGTGTTCTTCAGAGGTTGGGGTTCTCTCAGATAATTCCAGGGGAACTGAGCCTTGGAGGAAGGGCTTCTGTGGAACCTAGCAAAGCAAGGAAGTAGTGGCTATCCACTCTAGTCATGACATTCTAAGTCATTCAAGGAACACTAACAGTATCTATTTGGCCTGCAAGGACAGCATGGCATCATCTGTCTATCACCCACTGAGAAATGCCTCTTGCCTGAGCTGCAAACAGGGGGAAGCACATTAATGCCATCCATCCAGTGATACCTCCTGTTTTGAAAAAGTAGCCTAAGCTAGCTTCAAATCTGGTCTTTGGTTTTCTTGTGTCATCTTCCAAAGAGAGAATTACAGATGTGTGCCACTATGCCTGGCTATTCAGTGATAAGGACCTTAACTGTCTTCAGCTTCACATCCAAAGAAAAGGTACTTGCCTTGAGCAGTGCACATCTGGTTCCTGGTCAGTACCCTCCAAATTTAATGGCAAGGATCTGGAATAGGTGGTTTAAGTTCCTTCTAACTTGATGACCATCAGAAACAAAACAGCAAAAAGGGCTACTTGGTTACTTTTAAATTCTTTGTAAACATAAGTGTATTTGTGTGTGGTTACAGGGGTGCATGTTTATAGAGGTCAGGGACAAGTTGCCCAAGTTGTCCTCCAGAAGTTATACCTTCTGTTTTAAGTCCTGGGAACTGAACTCAGGGGACCACTCTAAGTCCTGGACTTGGGGACAGATGCCTCTACCCACTGAGTCATCTCACTGGTCCTCAGTTACTTTTTTTAAGGGTGTAGATTGCATTTAAAGACTTTTGAAAGCCTGGTGTGGTGGTGCACGCCTTTAAGAAGCAGAGGTAGGTGGAACACTCAAAGTTCCAGGCCAGTCTGATCTATATAACAAGCCAAGGATACATAGTTAGGACCCTGTCTCAAAAATAAAAAATTAGTTAAAAACCTAAAGGTTCTTGAATATTACAGATGTTGGTCATGTTCTTGATAATTATTGTCTTGCCATTAGTTTATGAATGTGAGTTCCCCCTCCACATAGCATTAAGCTGTCACTTTGACTCTACATGATTTTCCCCCCCCTTTCCAGTGCCCAAGACACAAATGAAGTTCAGCGTACAGACAATGTGCCCCATCGAAGGAGAAGGGAACATTGCACGATTCTTGTTCTCTCTGTTTGGCCAGAAGCATAACGCTATCAACTTAACCCTCATTGACAGCTGGGTGGATATTGCCATGTTTCAGCTGAAAGAAGGAAGCAGTAAAGAAAAAGCAGCTGTTTTCCGCTCTATGAACTCTGCTCTGGGGAAGAGCCCATGGCTGGTTGGGAATGAGCTCACTGTGGCAGATGTGGTGCTGTGGTCCGTGCTCCAGCAAACTGGGGGTGGCAGCGGGGTAGCACCCACCAATGTGCAACGGTGGCTGAAGTCCTGTGAGAACCTTGGCCCTTTCAGCACTGCCCTTCAGCTTCTTAAGTAATTCTAACAGCTCGTCTTCAGTATAAGAATGAGTTTCTTGTCTAAGAATCACAGTCTTTTCACTAAGCCAGTCGTCGGCATCAATAAACAAATAATCTGTGGATTTTATTTTAAGTCAGTAAAATCAAGTGCACTGCACTGAAATGATTACCAGCCAGGGGCAAGCACTTTATGGCATCAGAGACTGCTGCTTGAAGAACACACAGGTGGTTTGGGGAGTTGAGGGTTTTAAAAAGGAAATGGATCACAGGACACTATTACATCAGAAAACATGACATGTAAGCTGCTAAGATTACTTGAGGGCAAGGAGTTCAAAGCTTGGTAGAAGCAAGCCTAGGGTAGTGCCCTGTGCTAAGAAGCCAAACTCTGATTTCCCAGGTATTGTATACCATGTACAAGTTTTAAGTCAAGGAGTGATCAAGTGTCTGTTTTAACTGGCCTCAACAGCAGTATGAAAGACTAGGGAAGAGTGGTAGCTATCACAGTAACCCAACTGGCATACAGCCTGGGGACAAGCAGTGTGAGGGAGAGGGAGCACTGATTTCTGTAGTAGAACCTTCTAGAAGACAGGATAGTCAATAGGCAGAGCTTAAAGAAAGTAACAGAATGCTAGCTTAAGTTTTGGCGGTGGGCAGTAACATTTAAGTAGGAAATTCAGGAATGGAAACTTAGAGAGGGCAGTCTTAGGTCATAAAAGGGTTCCTTGAGGAAAAGGACACTGGGGTCCTTTTACATCTTTGCACAGATTTACTAAGTACAAATGAGAATGATGCCATCTGTCCCCAGCTAAGGGTTGAAAATTTACTATTGACGGTTTAAAAAATGTAAGTCCATTTTCCCATGGTGGACAGCAATAATTCAGGCTGTACTGGTAGGCCCCATTTTCCCCTCATTTCTTCAGCCCCTTTTCCCCAGAAAGGAGGCTTAGTTGTTTTTTTAGTTCTCCAATTTCCTTCTCTTGTTCTCTTATCTTCATCTGCAATTTGAGGTTAACCTAGAAAGAAAACATTTTAATCTCCATTAAAATGGCCTGGCCTTTGAGATATTCATACATCCTGGCTGTGCCTGAACAGCAACTATCAAAGCCCGAAATCACTAGTCATCCCTGTAAGGGTAAGTATCAAGTTGCCACAGTACCAACTATAATTATGTGACACCTATAGCCTGCAAATGCTCCATTAACAGATACCTTATGACTGGAGCTCAATAGGTGTCTTCAAAGTCTGTCTGCTAGTTCACAAGGCATTGTTTGTTGACTTGGAACTTGCTTGTCACCCAGGCTAAGACAGCAGGCTCATGAACTTCCAGGGACTCTGCCTCTTCACCTCTCATCTCAACATCTTGGGAATTACAGGGTTACCAAACTTAGGTTTTTTTTTGTTTTTTTTTTTATGTTCAAAAATTAGATCTTAACATTTGTTTTTGGGTATGTATGCAGGTGTGTATGTGTACTGTGATGCACTTGTCAGTTCTACTATGTGTTCAAAGGGTTGAACTGATTGTGCGACTGGCAGTAAGTGCCCATACTGACCAGTTTGGCCAACCTTGATGTTTTTGAGGCAAGCACTTTCTTAAATGAACCATCTTCCTAACCTCCTAGCTAGCTTTCAAGTGAATCATAAGCTAGTACCCATCAGAATCATTTCTGGGATCCATAAAGTACAGACTTCTAATCCTAGCCAGCACAGAATTTGTTAGTAGGTGAGGGAAGTGGAGAGGAGAGGGCCAAAGAATGCGATCTTATTCTCGAAGTACATTCTTCTGACTTGGAGGCCACACCTGGGAAGTGTGACACGTGCGCTGCTACTCAAGATACTGAATATAACCTGGAAATCCTGCTTGAATGCAGATTCTAGCTGTAGGTGGGCTAGCTGCTGGTTAGAGACCATACACTGAGTAGCACTACACATCTAGGACCAACCTAAGGCCCATAGGTCACATGTGACTGACTACATGAGGTTGTGGCTAGCTATGAATGTGGTCCAACACAGAACTGTAACCTAATCACACACACACACACACAGAGTTGTAACTTGGTTCCATGGTTCACAAGTGTAAACTTTACACGTGAACTTGTGTTATAATGTCAAGGCTGGTCAGGCTTGCTAAAGAATGTATCTTGAATCAACCTTTAATGAAACCATAGGTTTCTAGAGCAAGAAAAGGACAAATTAACCTGTTTCCATGTGTAGAGGAGACATTGACTTAGCACAATAGCCATATGGCAAGAAAAAGCTAGTTTCAGACTGTGGCATGCTGAAAAGATATGCAGAGGCCACCCCTACCAGTACTGTCCATTACTACTTAGAATTATTGCTCCTTTCACTACTAAGTACATTACAATTGTTTAGAAAAATCCCCAGTTAGGAAGGGAAAAAACCTTTCTCCTGACTTAGCCAGATGAGGACAGAAAAGAAAGCAAAGCCTAGACTACATTTAGAATAGCTAGTTGGCAGTGTGCCATTGCTTGCTTACCTGGGCTATGGATAAGCCTATGTTATTTGTGTAAATTCAGTCCCTGAAACTTAGGGAACTGTGAGTATAGGCTTAACTATTTTGTTTCCATAAACCCCAAAATACAAATATTTGTGAAATGGAATTCATAACTGAAACAAATTCTATTTTTAGTTTCATATTTTCCTCAGCATGAAAAGTTAGATTTCACTGGCTACCATGAAACAAGCATGTTGGTTTGAAGATCCATACTGCTGTGCTGTAACATAATCTGTACCAGTACAGGACAGGGTTTTATTTTTATTATTAGGTGTGTGTTTATGGTTGGGTGGAGGTATACATGCCATGGACCATATATGGGATGTTCAAGGACAACCCTGGTATGGTCTATTCTCTCTACCTTTTCATGGGTTCTAGGGGATCCAACTTGGGGAGTCAGGCATACCTTTATCTGCTGAACCATCTCACCAGTCCAGGGGAAGCTTCTGGTAAGGCATTTCTAACATACAGAACAGCCTGGGAGCTAACAGGATTCAACACAGCTAGGTTTCTAAATAATGACTATACTACACTTAGTATCTGTCACTGTGAGACCAATTACTTAACTTCCTTAAGTCTTACTCATCTGTGAAAGGGAGATTAGCAATATCAACTCAGAGTTGTGATCAGACAAGCTTACCTACAGCTCTTGGAGTTGATATCTCACATCTATAATCCTAGCACCCAAGAGGGTGCTACAGGATTGCTGTGAGTTCACGGTCAGCCTGGGTTATAGTATGAGATCCTGTTGATAATAAGCAAGCTCTTGGGATCATACCCAACTCAACCCAAAGTGAATGTTCAATAACTATTAAAAAAGAAAATGTCACATACATTTTCTGGTAAAGTCCAGAAAAGTTCACTCCGCTGCAGCTCACGAGCAGATGGCCTCTGTGACGCATTCCTTCCAGTTAGGAGCCGGACATACTTGGCTTGTACCGGATACCTTTCATTGAGGGATTCAGGTATCTGACCAGTCCTTATGCCTGTTAAGACTGTTTTTCGCTCCATTTCTGTCCCAAATGGTTGAAAGAGCTCCAGCAGGATCACACCCAAGCTATACATATCTGACTGCAAAGGGGGGAAAGTGGGCATGTAAAAGTATGTTATAAAGTGAGGAGAGCACTTCTAACACAAGATATCCAAGAATAAGGCTTTACAGCATCTGCAAAGGGAACACAGCAAGATGTCTCGTGCCTCAACAGCAGATTCTGCCTCAGGCAAGACGTATCTGGGACTTCATAATTCCATCCCTTTTATATCCAGAGAGGGCATATATGGCACTAGAGGCCAATGGTTGGCTAAAGGGCAGGGATGGCTCCCAACAGACAGGGCAGTCATTACCTTACAACAAGGATATCATCCCACCATAATCTAGACCTGACAGTGACCCAGGCAAAATGACTATAAACTCACAATTCCTAGTATTAGCAATAGGAGACTGTCACCAGGTCCTACTAAGGCTAGCCTCTACCTCTATTAGTAACTGAACACTTTTTTTTTTTAAAAGATCAACTTTAAATTTATATGAATGGGTGCCACATGTGTGAGGTTGCCCACAGAAGCCAGAAGAGGGCATATGATTCCTTGGAAGAATTCCACCTGGTTGTAAGCAGGTTGATGTGGATGCTGGGAACTCTGGTCTTCTGAAACAGCAGCAAAAATCCTCAGCCGCTGAGCCAGCTCTCCAGCCTAAGCATTCTTTTTAATGTTTATAAATTGCATAAAATCTGTTCTATTTTCTCTAAAAGGAGTTTATTAGGAAGATAGGCTCTTAAGGACAGCAATGAATTTTTCTGGCAACTACTTTCCAGTCATTGAAAAACAATGATTTGTCAAAAAGTTCATTGATTAGGCTGCTATACTAGAAAAGGGTATATTTTAAGAACCAGAAGCTGGGTGGTGATGGCACATGCCTTTAATCCCAGCACTCGGGAGACAGAGGCAGATGGATCTCAGTGAGATCCAGGTCAGCCTGATCTACAGGGCAAATACTAGGACAGGCTCTAAAGCTACACAGAGAAACCCTGTCTTGAAAAACCAAAAAAGAATCAGAAATGACAGCTCACACCTGTAATCCCAGTGCTTAGGCTGGGGTGAGAAGATCATGAGTTAGAAGCAAACCTGGGCCTTAAAAAGTAAGAAGACGACAGGCAGATAGAGGTGGCACATGACTTTAGTCCCAGCAATCAGAAGGCAGATGTAGGTGGATCTCTGTGAGTTCAAGGCCAGCGAGTTCTAGGACAGCCAGAACTACATAGAGAAATCCTGTCTCAAAAAACAAAAATGTTTTAAAGGGCCGGGCGGTGGTGTCGCATGCCTATAGTCCCAGCACTGGGGAGGCAGAGGCAGGCAGATCTCTGTGAGTTTGAGGCCAGCCTAATCTACAAGAGGTATACCCAGGACCACTTCCAAAGCCACAGAGAAACCCTGTCTCAAAAAAACAAAAACAAAACAAAAAAAGCAAAAACGAACAAAAATGTTTTGGAGCTTGCAACTTGGCTCAGTGGGAGAACACTTGGCTAGGACGTGCAAGGCCCTGGTTTCATTCCTCAGCACCACAGAAAAATAAAAGCAAGTAAAGTATTAGAGGAAAATGGAGAATTTTTAAAAAATTAAAAATGAAACTGAAAAGGCATTTAACATTTTTCAAGGAACAAAGAGGGTTAAAACTTTCCAGTGTCTCTCTCTATTTTCTTTCAGTGACAGTCAGGTAGCACACTTCCCAGTACCATCTGCTCACCTGAGCTTGACATGGGGAGGATGAAAGGCTGAAGACGTCTAGCCTCCTGAGGTGAATGGTGACATTTAAAGGGAAGGGTGACTTCAACATTTAGTGACATCTATGGATTTCGAAATAGTCACAGATCACCTGCAGGACTCAGCTCTGCCTGGAACGGCTCTGCCACAGAACTGTACTTACTGTTCTACTTGTTCTAACCCTTGACAAATTGAGGGAAGGGTGAAAACAAACATACCTTGGCATCATACTTGGATCCTTCCAACTGTTCAGGCGATGCATAGAGACAAGTCCCCACTCTGGATGTATGTGTCTGTGTTCCTACAATTGAAAAGGCTATTAAGCTACTTACTGTGATGTGAGCAGAGCACAGCAGCTCCTGAGGGAACAGTTACATTTTAGCCTCATTTGAGCTTTGCATGAAAGTTCTATGAGTCTTTGTAAGATCATGTTCAATTATGTCTTTCTCTTTAATTTTAAGTGCAAAAAGAGACAAAATACGTGAATAAATAAATCCTTACCATTCCCATTTCTGCTGGTCCAGTCTGAGCTCTTTTGTATGATATCTGCACAGGCCAGACCAAAGTCTCCTATTTTTACTTGCTGATCAGGGCCATGAAGGAAAATATTTCTAGGCTACAAAGAAACAAGAAAAAGTCAACTCAGATTCCTTAAAACAAATGTGGAAACTTGGGTTAAGAATTGCCAGATGTGGAGGCTGACACCTGTAATGCCAGAACGTGAGAGGCAGAGGCAAGAGGAGCAATGTGAGTCTGAAGCCAGTCAGGTTTACATCATGAGTCCTGATTCATCAAGGACTACACAATAAAACCCTATCTCAAACAAACAAAAAGTTGCTGGGCTAAGGAGGTGGCTCAGTGAGTACAGTGTTGGCTGTGCAAGCATGAGTGGCTAGTTAAAGTCTCCAGTACTCAAGCTGGGTGTGGCTCTAGGAGTACCTCTAACCCCAGCATTATATGGAACAGATACAAGAGGATCACTGGGGCTTGTTGGCTATATCAGCCTCCTAGCTCCAGGTTCAGCGAGAGACACTGTATCAAGAGAATAAGGTAGAGAGTGATGGAGAAGGCCACCCAAAATCCACGGCTGGCTTTTACACACACGCACGCACGCGGGCACACACACACACACACACACACACACACACACACCATATATATGCATACACAAAACTGAGGCTGGACACTCAGGAACAAGTTTTAATTTAAAAAAGTAGAACTTAGAAGGTGCAAGGGAAGTAGTTTAGCTGGCAGAGAGCTTGCTAGCATGACCAAAGCCCTGTGTTTTTAACTCCAGCAGTACATACAGGAGCGCGTGTCTGCAATCCAGCACTAGAGGTGTGGCAAAATCAAAAGTTGAAGGCCACCCTCAGCTACAACCTCCACGTTTCAAATAACAGCAGTAGCAACATTACCATCTAACTTAGAGAAAAGATTTTACTAAAATTAAGACATTACAAGTTGCAATCAGCCAGGTATTGGTGGTGCCCAGCACTTGGGAGGCAGAGGCAGACAATCTCTTGAGGCCATCCTGGTCTACAAAGGTAGTTCCTGGACAGGCTCCAAAATAATACAGAAAAACCCTGTCTTGAAAAAAAAAAGTTTCAATCTTACACGTAATCATGTAATTCACTTTTGTTTCTTAAAAAACTGTGTGTATACATGCTCACCATGGTATGAGGGTAGGGGTCAGAGGACAACTTGCAGGAGTCTCACCATGTGGGTCCCAGGATAGAGCTCAGGTTGTCATGCTTGGTGGTAGGCATCTTACCCCTAGCCATCTCACTGGCTCTATTAGACTGAATTACAGTTGATGTGTAAGGGAAGGGGGAAATGATTTTAGCTGTAAGATGCCAGTTTGGGTGTTTTTGTTTTGTTTGTTTTATAGTAACTGAGAAGAAAAGCTGAGAAACTGTGCTTGCACTTGGCACTATACAATGAGAGAACAAAGCCTCATGAGGGCTGGCTCCATTACAGAAATCAATTCTGTTGACAAATACAATTCTAGAAGAGTTCTAGAACTTAGCTGAATGGGTCATCATCCTAAGAGACGAAAACTGATTCCATAGCAGCATCGGCTCACCTAATAAGCTCTTCTTGCTCTAGAGATTTTCTCATGGGGAACATAACCAAGAGGGGAAGCAGAGACCTGGTAGCTGACAGTACCATACTGCTGGAAGACAGCTTAGTGGCTGCACTGCACTCTAGACTTTATGAGGCCATAATCAAGGAAGATTGTAACACAATCAAGACACTCCTAAGAGACTACCCTGTCAACCAGCCCTTGACCATCCCGGCCAAACCCACTAGCTACAGACGACTTCTGAGCCAGGTATTCCCTACTCTCTCAGTCTCTTTGAAAAAACAAAACAACAGGGCTGGAAGTGGTGGTACACCCTTCTAATCCCAGCACTTTGGAGGCTGAGGCAAGAGGACTATCTCAAGTTCAATGCTAGCCTGGGATACACAGTTAACTTCTAGGTTTGCTTCAGCTACTGCATGAGTTCTTGTCTCAAGAAAACAAACAATCAGACAACAACAAAACAACCAGAGGCTTTGGGAAGAACCACAATGCCCTGGGGACTCCCTAAACCCCTCATAAGTGTATGACATGCAGGGCCAAGCACTCAGGTCCAGTATACCCCAGTCTGAAACTCCTTCCACTCACCACATATAAATGGCTGGCTGGCAGGAAAGTAACATCATCCTCTCAAAACACACTCTCAGGGATTATGTTATATAGATGAATTAGTTTTCACTTCTGATATACACTTTCCTAGGTTTTTATAGTACAATGGTTGCTTTTTGTTTGGTTTCAGGAAGGGTCTTAGTCTACAGTCCAGGCTAGCCTAGAACTCACCAATTTACCCAAGCTGACCGAAAGCATATAACAATCCTTGGGTCTCTGCCTCACACGTGCTGGGTTTACAGGGATGAGCCCAGGCTCATTACTGCTTTTGTAATTAGCTTTCTTTTCCCAAAAAGAAAGCCACTCCTTCCACTGTCTCACTCTCTTCTCATCTTGCAGTCATGGTGTAAACCTTCCTTATGTATTTTAAGAACTAATATAAACAGCTCAGCTAATCACAGTAAGAACATGAGCCACATCATCTGAAAACCTTGGAAATGCCTGTTTCACAGCTGATAATACCTTTGGCAACACCTATAAAATACAGCACGTTCTTAATCAATTTGTGGATTAATTTAAGGACTAAATTATGTCAAAGCAATTTGCTACTGACTTTACACCAAAAGTTCCCCACCACCACCACCCTTTCTTTTCATTTTCAGTTTTTTGAGACAGGATTTCTCTGTTGAATAGCCCTAGCTGTTCTGGAACTAGTGCTGTAGACCAGGCTGGCCTTGAACTACCATCTACTTCTGCCTCCTGAGTGCTGGGATTAAAGGTATGCAATACTTCTGCTCAGCTGACACTAAGAGTTCTTTTTTTAGAAATTAATTTTCAAAGCTTTGTGTTATTTCTACTGCCTTGAGAATTCATATATGGGGGGGGGGCAGGATACATGTAGCCAAAGATGGTCTTGCATTCCTGACCTACCTCTACCTTCCAGGTGCTATAGGGTTATTTATACAGGTATGCACCAACATGTCCAGCTCTAAAACACCAATTCTATCATTTAAAATTCACCAGCTCTGTATCACTTAAAACAAACGACAGGGGGCTGGAGAGATGGCTCAGTGGTTGAGAGCACTGGCTGCTCTTTCAGAGGACCCAGGTTCAATTCCCAGCACCCACACAGCAGCTCACAACTGTGTGTAACTCCCCAGTTCCAGGTAATCATCCACCCTCATACAAATATGCATGTAGGCAAAACACCAATCCACATAAAATAAATACATGTTTAAAAAAATTAAAAAGGGAAAACAAACAAGCAAAACACCAGGCAACAGAAAAGGAAAATCTTTAGCCAGGAATGGTGCCTTTAATCTCAGCACTTTGGGAGGCAGAGGCAGTGGATTTCTCTGTGAGATCCAGGCTAGGTTGGCCTACGTAGGGAAACTGTGTAGGGAGCCTCAAAATCAGTCAGTCAGTCAGTCAGTCAGTCACAATGTATGAACGGAAGAAACCCCAAACCAATGTTTAGTATTTAGTGAGCTATGCTGAGTGGCAGGCACTGTGTAAGCGATGCTTGTAACTCATTGTGGTTTCCCAGCAACAGACTTACACTATACTCCCCATCCATCTGGCCGCTGAATACTGCAAGCCACAAAGTTTGCTTTGCTTGTTACAACATGGGGCTGACCCAGAAGTAAGGTAAGTTAACTCAACGTGCCATCAAGCCTAAGTGAGGAGATATGTGTGTGTGTGTGTGTGTGTGTGTGTGTGTGTGTGTGTGTGTGTGTGTGTGTGATTCAGGTACGTGTCTCATTTTGGATACAGACTGTTAGGATGAAACATACTTTACTGACAAAGTGAGAGGCTGAAAAACTGGGACTAATACAGTAATACTAACCAGCCAGATAAATGAACACATATGAAGCAGTGGCTCAGTTGTAGAAAACAGTTAAGTCTGGATTACAGCACTCAGGAAATTTGACAATATGAAAAATAAGAAAGGAAAAAACAGACGATGGGCTTTCTTGTGTATGACTCTCCAGTGGACCATTAGGTACATCCTACTCACACTCTTATCTCAGATTTTTGAACACTATGGCCCAGTGACTACATTTGGATAAATCAAAGAATTATACAATATAAAAATAATACAACTTCTGGGTACACTGCTTACCCTGCTCAGAAAATCCACTGGTCCATCTTATATGCACCCTCTCCAATCTCCACGGCTGGCCTGTCTAAGCCTGAGCCACCGACTTACCCTGTCTCTTCAGGGGCTCCTCAAAGGTACTTTCCTGCCCTAGAAAGCACACTGCCCCTGGATGAGGTTCTGCACCTTTCCACACTGCCCACAGGCAGCAAATGTTTAGTTCTTTAGCCTGCCTGCTTTCCATCCCAGACTATGCACACCCTCAGGAGGCCAAGATGCCCTGCTGTTTCTCCTAACCCCAGCCTTAGGTTCTTACACAAATAAGTCTAGGTGAATTCATGCCAGCTCCTCATGCCAGGGAAGCTGTCAAATTCTCATGATCAACCTTCCCTTTTCACTGCCACAACAAAGATATTTGGAGGCAATCCTGAGATGAGAGCGCACTCATTCCTCCTGGGTTGGAGCAGGGTGTGAAGAACTTGCTTCACTGGCTTCAGAGAAATGCAGGCACCCAGTCTCTCCTACATGAGTGGGTGCATGTGTCAGGGAGAAGACAATGTGGGAAACGGAATGAATGGGAGCCCTGGCCCTTAAACATTCACTTCTGGGATATTCATAGCTCATATCTAAGTCCACACATTTTTACTGAATACTCAGTGAACCAGTCTAGAGCCATGCATGATTCTGGGGACACAGAAAGAACCAAGGCACAGTTTTAAAGGGGCTACAGTCCCTTTAAGCAACCAAGCTTAAATAGGCTTCTCTAAGAACCTAGGCCCCACTAAGCAGGGACCCAAAAAACCTCCAGCAATAGACTGCCAACACTTGTCTAAAATAACTAATGAGCTTAGGGTGACAGCTGAGTCGGTAAAGCACCTGCCACCCAAACATAAAGACTTGAGCTCACTCCCCAGCACCTGTGTAAAGCATGAGCACATGGTTTCCAATCCCAGTGCTGGAGGTGGAATGAGGGAAAGAACACATAGATTGACAGAGCTCACTTGCTGGTCAGTCTAGCTGAATCAGTGAGTTCCAGATTCAGTCAAGAGGCCTACCTCAAAAAATAAGGGGGAGAACAATCAAGAAATCCACTTAATATTGACCTCTGGTCTCCACATGCACATAAGTTCACATGCACCTGAGTGTACACATACATACATACATACATACATACACACACACACACACCTGCACCACCCCCACACTGAGAGAGAGAAAGATTGAATGAGTTAACATGTGTTACTTGCAGTCAATGTTACCGACCTAAGCATTAACTCTTCATGGAGAGTCCCTCTGTGGGGTGTACCTGGCTTAACCTATGATAATTTCCTTTCAGGGATGATCAAGGCTTCACCACTCTTCACCAGATGCTGCTAAACTGGCCAATCACTTCTGCCTCATGGGCCAAACCAAACACTGAGATCCAAAAGATCCTGGCAGACATTCAGAACAATGCTGTCATGTGCCTGCGCATTTTGTGTGAACATGGAGCTCAAGTTAATGCCCCGGTAGGCGACAGAAAAAAACATTCACCCCTCCACCTGGCCATAACTTATGGGACCTATCCAATTCTCTCTCTTTTGGCCCAAAATGGTGCCCAGGTCAATGCTATTAACAAGGCCAGCATGACACCCCTCCACATGGCTGCAGAAAAACTGGACAAAAATATGGTGGAGACACTTATTGCCTGTGGGGCCAACGTGAACTGCACCGTCTCATCTACTGGAAGCACAGCTCTAAAACTAGCAGTGTGCACAGCGTCAAGCAAAGCTGGCCAACTGCTGGCAGCAGGGGTGGACTGCATCCGTCTGCTGCTAAATCATGGAGCCCAAGTCAATGCCCAAGATCATGAGGGCCATACAGCTCTGCACAAGGCATGTTTTGGAGGCAGAGAGGTAATAATCAATCTCTTGCTGGAATTCGAAGCAAATGCTAACATTTTAACAAGAAATGGGGAATCTCCAATTTATATGTACCTTCAGCGCGGTTCTAATATCAGAAATGAAATGCTTCTGGCTAGGCTACTTTATCATACCTACCCTTTAAAGCTGACCAATAAGCAAGGGATTCTACCTGCAGGAATCATGCAACCAGAATTCCAGTTTTTAAGGGAAACTTTAATAAATTTAACAAAAAACCCTTTATCCTTAGAGGATATCTGTAAGAGAAACATCAGAAATGTTTTTGGTGAGAGGTACAAATTCTACCTGAAGCAACATCTCCCTGGGAAGCTATGGAACTCCATATACATCTTTTATGATTTCGACTACCTCTTGAAATAAGAACTCCACATCCTCAGTGCCAGAGAACCACAACAACTCAAACTGTGTTTTCTGGCTAGGCATGTACTAGAAAACATTTGAACTTCACTTTACATTGCAAAAAATTAAAGTGGCTTGCACATATTAACTCTTATCATTTTCTAAGGTTTCATTTAGATGCCTTTTCCATACTTAATTGTGGCTTAAAAAGTGGGTTAACTGCTTTAAGATTTGTCATCCAAAAAAAGAAAGTATATTTTACCTTTCCTTAACAGTCTTTCATTTGTTTGTTTACCAGCACTGCCTGGCTCCTTGATAGTCTTTTATGAATTAAAACTAATATAGTCCCCATGGAGTTTTCTCCTTGTTTTGTGGGGTGGTTTATTTTTGTGAGACAAGCTCTCACTATGTAGTCCAGGCTAACCTCAAGCTAAGTGATTCTCCTGTCTGTTAGAATTGTATTTTTATTGTGGTTTGGTTTGAGGGATTTGGGATTTTGATTTTAGTTTGGGTCCTTGAAGCATGACTTACTACAGAGTCCTGAAGAGCTCTAGACTTGCCTCAGCCTCCTGTGCTGGGATAAAAGGTGTGTATGCTGCGTGGATTTTTTTGTTGTTGTTATTTTTGGTTTTTTCAAGACAGCATTTCTCTTTGTATTGCTCTGGTTGCCCAGGAACCCATTCTTCGACCAGGCTGGTCTGGAACTCACAGAGATCCACCTGCCTCTGCCTCCTAAGTGTGGGATTAAAGGTAAAGGTGTGGGCCACCGACACCAACACTACCACCAGCAGCAGCAGCAGCCTTTAAAAAAAAGCCCAAAAAACAAAACAAATCATCTCCTGGAAAAAGATTTTAGTTTCTAAGGCTGCAATAACATATGACCACTTCTACCAACACAGAGTATATTTACCACCACCAATTGTATTAGTTATCAATATATGTATGCCTTACTGTATTCATACTTTAAGCCAATGTTCAAGTGACTCCAAATTACTGTTTTCAAATTCAATTTAGGGTTTCTTTTTAAGTATGGGGGGTTATTGTCTGGGAAGGGGTGTACACACATGTGTGTTTATGTATACAGAAGCCAAAAGTTGACACTAGGCATCTTTCTCAACTAATCTACCTGACTGGACAGCTAATGAAGCCCAGGAATCCTCTTGTCTCTGCTTCGCCAGCACTGAGATTATTTGTACACATATGCTGCTGCATCTGGCTGAATTTTCAGGCAGATTCAGGAGATACAAAGTCAAGCCCTCATGCTTACACAACAAGCACTATTCTGACTCCAAGAGTTCTGGGCCTCTAGAATAATAATTTACATGACAGCAATGACAAACTACTAAACAGAAGAATGAGGGTATGTCACTTCAGTGTATTCCATGAACCCACTCAAGTTATCCCTGTAAGACACCACTGCTGTGTTCACAAATACAGTAGTCTGGCTTACCTTCAGATCTCTGTGGACAATGCCATTTTTATGTATATAACAGACACCCTCCACCAATTCTTGAAAAATTTTTGTTGCAACACTGGCCATAAGGTAGGGACCTGGAATTTTAAAAACAAATGGTTTCATACCCCTATTTCTTTGAACTCATTAAATGGCATTAACATCTAAATGTGACACATTCTCAACAAATTAATCTTGAACACTTCAATAGTCAAACACTCCAGAGTGGTCTAAAACAGAATTAAAGAGGAAGAAGGATTCTTTGCTAGCAAAGAAAAAACATCACAGACTGAAAGCTATCATTGACTCTGTGTTTCCAAAAAGGTACTAAGTTCAGCCAGAAACTATATTAATGATGTTCTAAACAATTACCTGGTGGCATTAAGTGACTAAATTACAGCTTCAAAATTCTCTGACCCTTAATATACTGGAGTCTAAGGCTAATCTATTGTCCTAGCCCACAGTTAATTAAGACATCATTGCAAATATTGGACTAAGAAAAAACATAAATTACCCAGGCATGGCAGCTCCTGTTTATAATCTAAAACTTGGGAGAATGTAGCAAGAGGACCACCTCTAGTTCTAGGTCAGCCTGAGCTATTCATTGAGACTCAGTCCTTTAAAAAGGGGTTGGGGAAGATAAATTTTGTTCAAGATATAAGCTGTTATCCATTATTTGTCAGATTTGCTAAAAGTGACTGAATAATGAAGAATACATGAGGGATGAACAGTTCACTTGGACATGGAGTTGTTTTCAGTGGTTTTATGACACATCCAGCCTGAGGCTCATTGACTTCATGCATCCCAAGATAGTTATGAATGCAGCCCAACACATCTGTAGAAACCAATGACATACTACAATGTCCAAAGCTTGGATGCCCTGTACTAAAACAACAACTTTTAAAAAAATTAAGGACTTTGACAAGTTTAGTAATATGATAATAGGAGGAATGATTGTGGGTTTTAATTTTCACAATTTTTATTTGTGTGTGTGTGTGTTGTATACATGTGCCACAAGACTGTGTGAAGGTCAGAGGGCAACTTGTAGAGTCAGTTTTCTCCTACAGGGTGGGTCCAGGGGACCCAACTCAGATTTTGTCAGGCTTAGGGGACAAACACCTTTACCAATGAGCCATCTCATCAACACTTTTTGTTGTTGAAGACAAGAGTCTCATATTGTAGCCTGGAACTCAAGATAGCCTTATATTTCAACCCTTTGAGTCCTGGGATTGAAGGTATAAGCCATCAACCATAATGGCTACAGTAAGAGCCCAATAGCAAGGCAGGCAAGGTTGGTTTATGTCCACAATCCCAACTGTCATTCCTGTAATTACTCTGGCTAGACACTTTTTCAGTCTTTTCTGCCTCTATGGATACTCGGTTTCAGAAGGACTTGTCAGGTACTTCTCCGTGACAAGCAGAGCTTTGGAGCTCATTGGCCAGCCAACCCAGCCAAATCAGTGAGCTCTAGGCACAATGAAGAGACAAGGTCTCAAAAATAAGGTGGGGAATGACTGAGGAAGACACCTAAAATCAACCTCTGGTCTCCACACACATGCAAATGTGCACACACCCACACAAACATGTACATTTAACACATATACACATTAAAAAGTTTCTACCCAAAATATCACTGATCTAAATTCTATATTACTATTTAAATACTGTCTTTGTTTCTTTTCCTCTTGTCATTATAAAATGCCCTGACAAAGCTGGACAGTGGTGGTGCATGCCTTTAAACCCAGCATTTGGCAGGTAGAGGCAGGTATGGATCTTTGTGAGTTCCAGGTCAGTCTGGTCTACAAAGCTACACAGAGAAAACCTGCCTCCAAAAAACAAACAACAAACAAGCAAACAAACAAAACAAAACAAAAAATGTCCTGATAAAAGCAATTCAAGGGAGAAAAGGCTTATTTCGGCCCACAGTCCATCACAGGAATGCCAACATGGCAGGAGCTTGAAGCCACTGGTCGCCTACCGCCAGTCAGAAGTCAGAAAGAATACTATTGGGCAGCTTGCTTTCTGTTATACAGTCCAAGGTTACAATCCAGGGAAAGGTACCATCTACAGTGGGAAGGACTTCACAAGCTGCCTGCCTCATCAAGATAATCCTCTACAGGTATATCCAGAGGCTAACCTATATAATCTACCACAGGTGTGTCGAGCAAATCACAGGTGTGATTCTAAATCCTGTCAAGTTGACAATTAAATCAACCATTACTAATACCAACATTTTACCACAGATAACTATCAAATTCATAGTTGTTTCTGACACATACTGAAAGAGATTTACAGATGGTACTTACAGGCAGCTTCATCCATATGCTCCCAGCTCCGTTTGTTCCTCTCAGCTATCCAGTCCCACAGGGAGAGCTCACACAGCTGCATCTGGATGTGCAACATCAGGTGGAACGGAACCTAGAAGACACACAGCATGCTCCCATCTGCCATGCCTCACAATCTTCACTTTCAGCAAATACTCCCGGGGCCATGTTAGGTCAAACACCATGAGCAACTGCTGCCTAGAGTCTCCTAAAGGGAACTGATTAACAGGGATCACCGTATAGTCTGAGGCTGGAGATGTGGCTCAGTTGGTGAAGTGCTTTGTGTAGCATGCAGGAAAGCCTGAGAAACCTAGTCTGGTTACTGGTTGTTTTCACTTGACCTTACTATTATTTTTTTTTAGATGCCTATTTGTATTCTACTGAGACAGAGAGATAATGTGTGCATTTGGGTGGGTGTGGAGTTGGGGGAGGGGAAACAGTAATCAGAATATAGTGAATAAAAAAATTTATTTTCAATTACAAACAAACAGTGAGGTCTCTGCTACTGCTCCTGCACCCTGCCTGCTTGCCTACCTGATGACATGCTCCCTGCCATGAAGGTCATACACTTCAACCCTCTAAAACTGTGAGCCACAAATAAGGTTTTTCTTCTACAAGTTGCCTTGGTGATGGTGTCTTACCACAGCCATCAAAAAGTAAGTAAGGCAGTTGGCTTCTTTATATTGTGTCTTGTGGGATATTTGTACACTGTGTGAAAATGTATTGTTGTGATTGGCATAATAAAAAGCTGAAGAGCCAATAGCTAGGCAGAGGTTCTGGCGGGACTTCCGAGAATTTTGAAGAAGAAGGTAGAGTCACCATCCAGAAGCAGGGGATACTGTATGGAACCACGTGACAGAACACAGATTAAAATAAATGAGTTAAATATTTAAGTTCTAAGAGGTAGAACTTAAACTCAGACCAGATTTATATGGTAAGCACTTTACAAGCCTAAGCAAAGGCCAAGCTTATCTGTGAGCTAGCAGCCCAAAGGAAAATCCAACTAGAGTACTAGCTAAAGAGAGAACATTTAAGCTTACAGCAACTGAATTCAATATTAAGAAAAATGTTCCGTTAAAGTGTGCACACGCACACACACACATACATTCTTTCATAAGAATTATTTTTACACATACAGATTTTCAATTCTGCCCTGACAGATTGTAATGTCATGCAGACTTCATGGATGTTCACATTTTGTGTGTGCATATAATGGGGATCTGTGCGTGTTCATGCATATTTGCAAGATGCATGTTATGTGGAAGCCAGAACTCAATCCCAGGTGCTATTCCTCAGTGGCTGTCTGCCATGTTGTTAGAGAAGGGGTCTCTCACTGGGATGTAGAATTTATCAGTTAGGATAGACTAGCTGGCCAGTCAGCCCAGGGATCAGGGATCCACCTCTTTTCACCTCACCAGTGCTGGGATTACAAGGGTGCTCCACTACACCCAACTTATCACATAAGCTCTGGGGATCAAACTCAGACCAGACTTATATGGCAAGCACTTTATAACTGAGCTATTTCTCCAGCCCCAATGTTCTAGGTTTTTAAACACAATACCGATGCGGGTCTGATGAGCATATTAGCAAACTTACCACAATAAAAGTTTGCTGACAACTGATATGGTAATCTTACGGGAATCACCAAAAGTTATACTCCAAAAACAGAAAACTGTTCTGCACGAATATATGTCTGTATTAACATATACTAGAAATAGATGGTGACTATCTAGGGGTGCACTGATCCAATGGAAAGATCAGTAAAAGATTACTAGGAGATAAGTGAATGAGGAAGGCTGACTACTAAGGCCTTACAGTCAGGCTGGGATGGGTTAGTAGAGTGCTTGCCACCATGCACCAAGCCCTGGGTTTGATTCTCAGAACTGTGTGTGGTAATGCACACTTGGAATTCCATCATTTTAGAGGTAGAGGCAGGAGGATCAGAAGTTCAAGGTCATAGTTGACTACACAGCTCGCAGCAGGTCAGACGGGGCTATGTGAAACCCTGTATGCAGTGGGGGAAGAGGGAAGGACCCAAACCTCAAAAATACCATACAGCTAAAGGGACCACACTGAGTCCATGAGACTAAACAGAAGAAATCTACCTGGAAAGATGGAGAAGCACCAGACATTGGCTGAGGAAGGAGGACGCCACACAGAGGCAAACTCCTTACACAGCTGTGGGTGAACACCTCAGCAGGCTCTGGGAAAGCACACTACCTCTGTCTGCTCCAGCAGGTTCAAATTGTCTTCAGAAGACTCATCCGTGGATGTAAAATTCCCTTCCAAGTCTGAGTTGTGCCCCAGCAGCAGCTGATGCTTGTCAACTGGTCTGATAGACAAATCGGTCACACCATTTTCTTGGAGCTCAATGGGTGACTCAAACTCACTGTTGTTCCTGATCACTAAATCGGTTGTGTAGTTCACCAGGTTGTTATTTTCATTTTCAATGTCAGGTTCGCCAAGAGCTTTTTCTTTTTCTGAGCTGAGGTCAGCAAAGATAATGGAGGAGCTGCTCTCATTATCTTTAACAGCACCTTGATCTCTAGAAGTAAAAAAACAGTTAACACAAAAGGGAGCATAAATGACAGTATCTAAATTGTTCTTTCAAACCAGGATGAACCTTATAAATGTCTAAATAAATGGCACCAGGCAGGTTATTTTCAGCATATGCCTGTAATCCCACTTCCCAGCATAAAATCACTGGGAGGTGAAGGCAGGAGGATCAGTAGTTCAAGGCCATCTTCAGCTACATAGCAAGTTCTAGGCAAGCCTAGGCTATATAAGACTCTGCCTTAAAAAAAAAAAAAAAAGAGTATCAAATCTGTCTAGCATTAACTTTGATTTAAAACACTGACAAAGGGCCAGAATAGGGATGCACATCTATAATCCCAAGACCCAGGAAGTTGAGACAGGAGCTAGCCTGGGCTATAAAGTAAATTAAAGATCAGTGTGAGCTGCTTAGCAGGACTCTGTACCAAATAAGTCAATTAAAGGAAATACAGCTATGACAGGAGAAAGTAACTTAGTATTTTGTAGAGAAAATAGGCAAAACAACAACAGAATAAAAGACAATAAGCAACAGAAAGTCTACAACACTCCTCCCAAGTTCCTAGTACCAATGACAAAAGCAAGTCACTACAGGTGACAGAAAATAATGGTTTATGTGCACAAGTAACACCAATCCACATACCTGTCCCCTTCATCCTCTGACAGCACTTCAAGAGAGGGCAGTTGAATGGAAACTATGTCTGCCAAACAGAAATAAATACAAACATCTGTAAGCAGCCATGATTTTCAATGTATAATCAAATTCAGAGCTAAAATATACAGACAACACCAAATGAAGCTGCAAGTAAAAAGGAACAAAACAAGTTTAAGAGATGTCGTCACTCTAGTAACTACAGAGACATAATTCCAGGCACCAGTGATCACCAAAGGTTCTAGAGATCTGATAGGAAATATTAGGTTTGAAGGCGCTCCTGAACTCAGCCTCAGTTCTGATGTAGTGAAAAGCAACCCCAGGCAAATGTGAGTGAGCTGGGGATGGAGTGACAGCTCAGCACTTAAGAGCACTTAGGTTCAGTTCCCAGCACCCACATCAGGCAGAGATCCCCAGTGCTAGGCTAGGGATACACACAGCATTGTCTTTTTGTGTGATTGTCAGGGATCCAAACTCAGGTCCCTCCTGCTAACAAGGCAGGCATTTTACTAACAACCATTTCCCAGCCACTCCTGACAAAAAATGAAAAACCTGCTAGGGATAGCTCAGTAGGAGAATACTTGCCTAGCATTTTCAATTATTAGCACTGAAAAAAAAAAAAATTAAAGCTGTGTGTACAAGCACATGCTTGTAATCTCAGTCCTCAGGAGGCCAATTTGAGCTAATTAATTTTGAGACTAATTTGCACTTGTTAATAGTGCAGACCTTATCTCAAAAAAATTTTTTAAAATATTAAGTAATAAAAACAAGACCAGTCTCTGATTGTGTGAGCAAGGGGAGGGTGGATTTGGCTAAAGAGCAGAAATTCACCACAGATTGAGTACATATATGAGGTAGGTGGAGACCAAAGCACTTCAGATTTAGGACTTCCTTCCTTCCTTCTACTGCCTGCCTGCCTGCCTGCCTGCCTTCCTGCCTTCCTGCCTCCCCCTTTTCTAGAATTCTACAGAATACCAGAGGGCTGCCTAATCCTAAAATCCAAAAGGTTCAAATATTCAAACAATGGCGTGCTTTTATAAGGTTCCAAAATTTTAGATTTGGGAACTTTTCAGATTCTCAATTTTTAGACTAGGAATGATTGACTTGTATCAACGAAAACTACTTCCCTTAGGCGTGATGGTTCATGCCAGTAACCCTAGCACTCTAGAGGGATAGGCAGCAAGTTTGAGGCCAGCATGTAGAGCATACCAGGCCAGCCAAGACTACATAGTAAAACCCCATCTCAAAGATCCAAACCAAGGGCTGCAGAAATGGCTCAGCAGTTAAATGGCTCTTACAGAGGATGGCCCAAGTTCCATTAGCAACATCCATGTCAGGTGGCTGACAATTTACTAATTCCAGGCTCAGGGGATCCAATACCCTCTCTTGGACTCTAAGAAACCAACAAGCATGTGTGTACATTCCCACACACAGAAACCTACTTATTCACATAATTAAAAATAGATAAGTCAGGCAGTAGGTATACTGACTGCCTTTAACCACAACACTTGGGAGGCAGAGGCAAGAAGATCTCCATGAGTTCAGGTATGGTGGCACAACCTTTTTAATCCCAGCACCCAGGAAGCAGAGGCAGGCAGACCACTGTGAATTAAAGACCAGTCTGTTCTACATAGGAAGTTCCAGAACAGCTAGAGCTACATAGAGAAACCGTACGTCAAAAACAAGACCCTCCCCAAATAATAAATAAACAAACAAATAAATGAAATAAAAGGCAACTTACCTTGTGGCTGAATGACATAAATATGTTCCATCCATGCAGTGTGATAGCCGACAATGTTGGGATGTTGGAGACCTGCCAGAACCTTTACTTCTCTGAGCACCTAAGCAAAATAATTAAAATCACTTTTTACTGGCAATTTGTTACGCCTTCTAAAAAAGGAATCTAAACTACATAGAAATAATAGGAACAATCCAGTGAAAGACAAACAGCAATTGTTTTTTGTTGTTACTTTTTGAGACAGGATATCTATGTGGTATTGGCTGCCCAGACCTCTCTATGTAAACCAGGCTGGCTTCGAACTCTGCTTCTTAAGTGCTGGGATCAGTCATGCATCATCACGCCCAGCCAAATAGCAATTGTCAGAGCAACTCCACACCTACTTTATGTCTTGATAGTTCACTTGATTCCCCCAGTGTTGCTCCTATTTTTTTCTTACCTTTATCATCTTTCCTTTTTTAAATGCTGCTGAGAATTTAAGAGCCTTGAGATGCTAGACAACCTCTCTACCACCAAGCTGCACCCCAGCCTCTGTGGAGTGGTTTTGTTTGCTTCTATGTTTGCTTTGATAGTGTCTCACAATGCAGCACAGTCTGGCTGTGAACTCCTGCTCCTCTTGTTCAGTATTCCCAACACTGGGATCACAGCTGTGACATGATGTATTTCTCACTGTTATTTAAACATGCAGAGACACAGTGACTGGGAAGAGAAGGAATTTATTCAGGACCACACAGCATGTCAATAAGAGGTGGACCTGTGGCCCATCCTTTTATGTAACAAGCTAGATAGTGTGGTAATCAAGTACTTAAACTAATGAGACAAGTCAGAAAGCAAAGGCACCTTGCTGCTAAGCCTGATGAACTGAATCTGGTCCCTGGTATCCACATGGTAGAAGGAAGAGAACCAACTCCCACAAGTTGTTCTCTGACCTCCACACAAGCACTGTGAGCACACATTCATGGACAGATATGTATACAGCCTGTCACATGACTTTAGTCTTAGCATTAGGGAGACAGAGGCAAGAAGAGTTTGAGGCCAGTCATAGTGAGACATAATCTCAAAAATAAAATAGAAAAAAATACAACTTTAAAGAAAAATTACATCAAATAAAATTTAGTTTTTATGTTTACTGATAAAACCTACTATTTAGCACTGCCTTCTCTCTGTACTATAGTGGAATCTTGAATCTTTCAATATGGAGGCAAGGACTCATACTCTGCACTATATCCCCAGCCTTCCTTTTGCTTTTTGAGAAAGGGTCTTAATAAGTTGTCTAGCTGGGAACTCACTCTGAAGTCCCAGCAGGCCTTGAATTTTCAATTCTCTAGCTTCACCCTGAGAGAAATGAGATTAAATAACTGAATTGCCAGGCATTCCCCCCCCCCAACCTTCTTCTTTCCATTTTTAATTTATTTCACTTTACATTCCAACCACAGTTCTTCCTCCTACTCCATTTTTTTTTTTTTTTGTTTTGTTTTTTGTTTTTTTGAGACAGGATTTTTCTGTGTAGCTTTGTAGACCAGGCTAGCCTCAAACTCACAGAGATCCGCCTGCCTCTGCCTTCAGGGTGCTGGGATCAAAGGCGTGCACTATTACCCCCCAGATCCATTTTTCTTTTTTAAACAAGGAGATTTTATTATGTAGCCTGTAACTTGCTCTGTAACAGACGAAGACCTTCAACTGATCCTCCTGGATCCACTTAGCACCACCATGCCTGGCCAGGCTTAAATCATTTTCTGAAAGCCTACCTTCAGGGTTAGGGAGATAGCTTGGTCAGTGAAGTGCTCAATTTGCCAAGCATGAAGATTTGAGTTTGACAGAGTTCACGAAGAAAGGAGGAGGGGGGGGAGGAAGGATGGAGGAGGAGAAGAAGTATGTCACATGCTTGTAGTTCCAATCTGAAGGAAAATAAGATGAGGATCTCTGGGGCTCATTAGCCAAATGTTGCCTAAGGAAAATCACTCACAAGTATGCACGATGTCTGCACCCTCACACAAGCATGCACACACACACACACACACACACACAAAATCATACCTTCATATAGTCTATTTCACTTTTACTTTTAATCAGGATTTTCTTAATTGCATAGTGCTGACCATCTAATTTGTTCCGGACCTAAAAAGCCAAAACAAAAGAAAAAGTATTAAATTCCATCAAATGCAACAGAATAAAGGAATTTACATCATGTGAGCTTTGATAACCCAAAACAGCCAGAGATCAAATTAAACATAAGGTATTCTTCCCATAAGGGGGAAAGTCAGCACTAGTCTTCTGAAGCAGGACCTTTGCAAACTAAACTATATCCAATCTCAGGCTCCCAGTGTCAAGGAATGCTAGCAAAGTTGTACATGCAAAACAAATGCACAAACACCATGTTTTCTGTAACAGAACTTTTTTATTCTTTTTGAGACCAGGTCTCAGGTAGCCAGGTTGGCCTCAAGCTCATTATGTAGCCAAGGTTGACTCTGAACTTCTGATTCTCCCGTCTCCACCCCCTACAGGTATATAACATAACAGTCTGTGTGATGCTTGGGATCAGGTCCAGGGATTTATCTGGGCATGCCAGTCAAGAATGCTAGCAACAGAGGTGTGTCTGAAGCAGCACAACTTCTTACAGAATATTGTTTTCAAGTTTCAGCCTCTAATCTCTCATCATTCTGATGGAAGTCTTTAAACTACAGATTGAAAATACTAGGTTAAAATATTTTCAAATTATATTTTTATTGTTTGTTCTTTGATGCTGTTATGTACTGGGTAGTTTTGTGTGTGGACTTGACACAAGCTGTGGGGTCATCAGAGGAAGGAGCCTCAGCTGAGGAAATGTCTCCTTGAGATCCAGCTGTGAGGCATTTTCTCATTTAGTGATCAATGGAGGAGGGCCCAGCGCATGGTGGGTGGAGCCATCCCTGGGCTGCTGGTCCTGGGTTCTATAAGAAAGCAGGCTGAGCAAGCCATGGGAAGCAGCACCCCTCCACGGCCTCTGCATCAGCTCCTGCCTCCGAGATCTTGCCCTGTTTGAGTTCCTGTCCTGACTTCCTTCAGTGATGAACAGCACTGAAGTGTGAGCCTAATCAACCCTTTTTTCCCCAACTTGCTTTCTGGTCATGGTGTTTCATTGCAGCCACAGAAACCCTGACTAAGACACTAAGACATCATTCTTGACCAATACATAAATCACTGTCCCTCCCACCCACCCTGGTTAATCTCCTCTCTTCCCTACAAATCCTTTCCCCACATTCATCTCTTTTATCTTTCTTCTCTCTCTCTCTCCTTTTTAAAATTATTTATTTATTTATTTATTTATTTATTTGTTTATTTTGAGACAAGATCTCTCTACGTGGTCCTGGCTGGGCTGGCATTTGACTTGTAGACCAGGCTAGCCTCAAATTAGGAGAGCCACCAACCTCTGCCATCGAAGTACTAGAATTAAAGTGTGCCAGCATGCCTGCCTTATAACTGATTTTTAATAACTCTAGACTACAGAATAAAAACTCAAAGTTTCCAGAGCCTAACTAAACAACCAACATTAACAACATGGTTAGAAAAAAATTAAAACCTATCAACTGCCTGTAAATGACAAATGAAAATAAAAACACATGATTCTAGGAATCTCTGGGTACTTCCAATCATAATAGCGAAAATAACTTCCCAAAATACAAATTTATAACCTAATAGATTAAAATGAGCATACAGCAAACAAAACAAAAACAAACCTTGTACACGCTCCCATATCCTCCTTTTCCTAAGATGTCAAGCTCTTCAAATTCGTTTAAGTACCGTGAGGTTTGTGCTTTAAAAAGTATCTCCTTGTATCTAAAAGTTAAATACAGACAGGCCATCAATATTAAGATGTGACAACCAATGTATGCCCTGTGTTACCAACCTGACACTCACTGATCAGTAAACTGCAAGGTAGAAAGAATCGGCTAAAAGGAAACTTCTGATTTCCTGGGAAGGAAATGGCTAGGTAAATTAAGAATGTAATAAGAATAGCAAGAGGACTCATTATATTTAGTAATTAGCATTCCAGTAGCAATCAGCAACAGTGCTTTATATACGGCAGAAACGGGGCAGAAGTGTAAGTAATTAGGTGAGCTTTTTCTTTCTTGCTGAGAATCAGGGTCTTCAGAAGCCAAAGCTGACCCTTAGACTTCTGAATCTGCTGCCTTTACTTCCTGAGTGCTGAGGTCACAACTGTTCACACCCATTACCAGAGAGATGTACTGAAATTTCTTGTTTTAATGTTTTTTTTTTGGGGGGGGGGGAGGGTTCCTGGGGATTTGAGACAAGGCCTTACCCTGGAGTCCAGGCTTCCTGGAACTCACTATGTAGGCCAAGGCTGGCCTTCAACATGTGGCAAGCCTCCTATTTCTATTTTCAATGTGCTAGGATTACAATTATATGCTACCACACAACTCCCAACCTTAAACTCTGAAATGATGTAGGGTCCTTACAGATTCTTAAAATTCTGTAAGTAAAGTAAAAGGCCAATGGTGTTCTCCCAAAAGAGGTATCAGTAATCTAATTGACAGGGGGTGGGGTGTTTGCTGGACATGTTTCCACATGGCTATAATCCCATCAGGAGGATCTGTGCATGAAGACTGCTTGGATTGCAAAGAGACTTTGTCTCAAAAAGAAATCAGGGAAGTGGGCTGTGGTGAGGGCTCAACTGGGAAAGCATTTGCTGCATGTATGCATGAAGACTGGGGTACAGATCCCAGCATCCACATAAACACTGGCTGGGCATGGCAGCCCACCTACAATTTCAGCAAGAGAGAGGAAGAAACAGGGGTCCTATAGAAAGCATTCTGGCTAGACTAACCAAATCAGAAAGCTTCACACCCACCTCTGTACATTACAGGAAGCAAATATTTACACCCAAACACAAAGAGAGAGAGAGAGAGAGAGAGAGAGAGAGAGAGAGAGAGAGAGAGAGAGAGAGAGAGAGAGAACCAAATGTATGGTTTTATAGCTATGTGGAGGCAGGAGGATCAAGAATTTAAGATCAGTCTCAGCTACAAAACAAAAATGAGAACAGCTGAACTACATGAGACCTTGTCTCAAAAACAACAAAAAACAAACAAAAACACAAAAAGGGGAAAGGGCAAAGGCAAGCTGATAGAATCCACACTCAGTGAGGAACATAAGACCAAAACCAAGGGAATAAGAAGCAAAGGAAATCTTAGAGCAGCATAGTGCTGGCCACAAAGTTCTATACCTTCCAAGAGCAGACAGGCGTGGTGGCAGGACATGCCTGTAATCCAGCACTCTGGACAACGTGGCAAGGTGGTGAGTGTTAACTTCCAGGCCAAACTAGACTACACAGCAAGAATATGTTTTAAAGACAAGGTTTCTCTGTGTATCCCTGGCTGTCCTGGAACTCTCTCTGTAGATCAGGCTAGCCTCAAATTCAGGAATCTGAATTTGATTTCTCTGTCTCTTACTACCTCTGTCTCTTAAGTGCTGGGATTTAAGGCATGCACCACCACTGACCAGCAAGAAATTATGTTTATAAAATAATTTTCATTTCTTTTAATTTAGTGTAGTTAAAAATTTAGTGTAGTGGAAAAGCAGCAGATACATACCCGATTTTCTGCATGTAAGAATTATCTTCACAAGGATCCTAAAACGGGAAAAAAAATTATCTTTAAGAATCACTTAAAACTTTTGGCAAACAAGGAGTCAAATTCAACATCACAATAATCCAAATGCTCACATACCTAAAACATTGCCACTGCTATCACCACATCTGGAGACACACCATCTTCCTGGCCTTATCCTTGCACCTGTCTCCCTGCCTGAGAACCACTCCTCTATTTCCAGCACAGTAGCCTATGTACTTAAAAGCCTGCAAGGCTTCCTATGTCCACTCTGCATAAAACCAACTTCATCAAGATCCTAGCAGGCTGTGGTGACTCACATTTGTAATCCCATCCCTTAGGAGGTTTAGAGCAGAAGCATGGAGAGTTTGAAGCCAGAATGGGCTACACACAGTTCTAAAACCATCTGGGCTACAGTGTGAGATTCTGTCCAAAATAAATAAATAAAACAAACAAACAGCAGCAGACAATAGTATTGTTGTTAACCCTTGTAGTGAATCAGTAAGGAAGGAGAGAGGAGGGAACAATCCCACACCCCTCCCCACTCTCTCTTCCACTCCTCCCCTTTAGCTGCTGTCTAAATGCAAGGCAGCCTTGCAGAAATGAGCAGCATACTACCATCAGCATGTTCTCAGCAAAGGGCATTGGCCAATATTGCCTCTGTTGGAATACCCACCTCCGTGCACCTGCAGTTAATGGTCTCTCAGCTCTGGATCTGATCACTTTCCTGGTGAGGCCTGCCATGGCCACTGTACCTGAAGTCACACACTCTCTCAGCATCTCCTAGTCCCTTTCACTACCTATGTGCCATCCACATTTGTTCTAACTTTCCCTATGCTGATGCCCTCTGCATCAGAACGTAAGCTTCATGAGGGTTTATAGAGTTTTGGCTATTTTCTTCCATTTTCCCCCAGCTCCCATAAAACAGTATAACACAGCAAATATTTGTACTAAGAACTAATATTGTCAACTTGACCAAGTTTCTATTTTTAAGAACCACTCATATAAGTAAAATTAAGTAATACTTTTAAAAAATACAGTTCTCCACAGTCAACAAGACAAAATGGCTCCCTACAGAAGGGGAAAAGATCTTCACCAACCCCACACCTGACAAAGAACTCAAGAAACTAGATATCAAACTACCAAATAATCCAATTAAAAAATGGGGTACAGATCTAAATAAAGAACACTCAACAGAGCAATCTCAAATGGCAGAAAAACACTTAAGGAAATACTCAATATCTTTAGTCATCAGGGAAATGCATATCAAAACCACTCTGAGATTCCATCTTACATCTGTCAGATTGGTTAAGACCAGAAACATGAAAGACAGCTTATGCTGGAGAGGATGTGGAGAAAGGGGGAACACTCCTCCATTGTGGTGGGAGTGCAAACTTGTACAGCCGCTGTGGAAATCAGTATGGCAATTTCTCAGAAAATTAGGGATCAACCTACCTCAGAACCCTGCAATAACACTGTTGGGCATATATTCAAAGGAGGCTCATTCACACCACAAGGATACTTGCTCAACTATGTTCATAGCAACATTATTTGTAATAGTCATATCTTGGAAACAACTTAGATGCCCCTCAACTGAAGAATGGATAAAGTACTACTCAGTGGCAAGAAACAATGACATTCTAAAATTTACAGGCAAATGGACAGAACTAGAAAAAACCATCCTGAGTGAGGTAACCCACAACCAGAAAGACAAATACACAGTATGTATTTACTCATAAGTGGACACCAGACATAAAGCAAAATATACCCAGCCTACAATCCATAATCCCAGAGAAGCTAAAACCCTTTTCCAGGAACAGATGGAAGTAGGTACAGAAATCCACAACTAACCATTGGGCCAAGCTCCTGGAGTACAATTGAAGTGAGGGAGGAGCGATAATATAAACAAAGAGGAGTCAAGACCTTGATGGGGAAACCCACAGAAGCACCTGACCCGAGCTAGTGAGAGATCACTGACAGGTCTGACAAATGGGGAAACTGTATAAGACCAAACTAGACTCCCTTAATACAGGTGACAGTGGTGTGACTGGGACAATATATGAGGCCACTGGCAGTGGGTTCAAGTTCTATCATTGATGCACAAACTGACTTAGTGGAGCCCATTCTATATGGAGAGATACTTTGGGAGGTGGAGAGGTGCCTTGGTCCTGCCTCAATGAGATGATGGAACAGATTTCCCAGGGAAGGCCTTACCCTCTCCAAGGAGCAGATTGGGGGAAGAGAGGACTGGGATTGGAATGTAAAAAATAAATTAATAAAAAGGGGGGAAATACAGTTCTTACTGGGCAGTGGTGGCATACACCTTGAATCCCAGCACTTGGGGGGCAGAGGCAGGCAGACTTCTGTGAGTTCCAGGCCAACCTGACCTATAGAGTGAGTTCTAGGACAGCCAGTTCTAGGACAAAGAAATCCTGTGTGTGTGTGTGTGTGTGTGTGTGTGTGTGTGTGTGTGTGTGTATTAGGGATAGAACCCACAGCACTAGGCACACTGGGCAAATGCCCTGCCATTGAACCACACATACAGCAAAACACAGTGGTTTTTCTTTCTTTAATGTATTTGAGTGTTTTCCCTACATGTACTAACCTCATTTGGTGCCTGGTGCCCATCAAGATCACTCCACCGAGTTACCAATGGTTGTGAACCACCATGTAGGTGCTAGAGACAAAACCTGGGCCCTATGCAAGTCCTCTTAACTGCTGAGCTATCTCTTTAGCCCCCACATATGGTTCTTCTAAGATTCAAATTCCCTTGCCATACACAAAGTACATGAGGTAGGGCTTACCTGATGGACTCTCTCTTTGGCAGCCCTCATTAAATGAGCTAAGGCTGTGTTGTGTTGTTGTCTCAGTGAGCTAAACTCATCACTGCAGGTAAATGAAGACAGCAGTCCCATCCTAATAAAAGTCTGGCAGAGTACTAAAAAAAACATGATACGCTATTATTAGAAAAACTGACAGCAGGCAGGGTAATGTGAGCAAACCTATAACCCCAGAATGCAGGCTGTTAAGAAAGGAGGAACCAAAGTCCAAGGTCATCTATCAGCTACCCAACTGGGCTAAACAAGACCTTGTCTCAAAAAGGGAAGGGAACATAGTAGATGGACATACAGTATGTACCAGGTACCTCAGAAAAAGTTGCTTCTGTAAAGAGACCCTTAATTTATGTATAAGGAAATACTGACAGGGCCAAGTGTGGTGGCTCATACCACACCAAAAATAGAAGAGAAGAGAAAGAGAAAAAAAGTCAAGGTGGAGAGAGAACAGGGAAGAGTGAGGAAACAAGAAAAATGGGGAGAAGACAGGGAGAGGCACAAAGAAGAAAGGATAGGGAAGGTGTGGTGGTGAACATCTCTGACCCTATCAATCAAGAGGCAGAGGAAAGTGCATCTCTGTGAGTATGAGGCCATCCTGGTCTACACAGCAAGTTTCTTGCCATCCAGGGCTACACAGTGAGACTGTCTTAAAAAACAAAAACAAAACCAGAAAGTGGTTGCACATGTCTTTAGTCCCCAGCACTCACTCAGGAGGCAGACACAGGCAGATCTCTGTGAGTTCAAGACCAGCCTGGTCTACAGAGTGAATTCTAGGTCAGCCGAGGCTACAAGGAGAGAACCTGTCTGGACAACCCCCACACCACAAAAAAAGGAGAAGGAAGTGGTATATGTGGAAGAGGAGAAGGAGAAGGAAGAGAAGAAAACAGGAGGAGGAGAAAAGAGGGTGGACAGATGGTTCAGTGTTAAGAGTGCTGGTTGCTCTTTCAGAAGACCTGGGTTCAATTATAGCACCCACAAGGTGGCTCACAAATCCAGGAGCTCCAACTGGCCTCTGCAGGCACTAGATATCCACATGCTGCACAGACATACATGAAGCAAAACCCTAAACACATAAAATGATTTTATTTTTCATGGACAGAAAGAAGAGGGAGGAAAGGACAGGGAAAGGGTGAGAGAAAAGAGAAGAGATAGGAGGAGAGGGAAGAGGGAGGAGAAAAAGAGGAGATGGGGAAAATAGAGGCAGTAGACAGAGAGAAGGTAGGAGAGGGAGGAAGGGTAAGGAAGGGGTAAGGAAGAGGAGATAAAAAAGAAGCATGGTTGAGGATGTACCCCAACTTACTGACTCCCAGCAGCACCAGAAGAAAACAAACCAAAAAGGAATACAGATAATTGTAGAGGATCTTCCTTCCAATGAACAGAATCTCTCAAAAACATTTTCTTGGGAAATTTTGCAAACTAATAAAGATATGGCTAAATTAAACTAGGGTCTTTTTTTTTTTTTTAATTAAATAGTATCCCTCCCCAGTGAGACAATGTCTCATATAGCTCAGGCTGGCCTCAAACTTGTTATGTGGTGAAGGGTAGTCTTGAAACTTTAACTCCTACCCCTCCTGTGTCTACCTTCCAAATGCTGGGATTTGGAAGGTATGCACCACCACACCTAGCTAAAACATACATGTTTTAAAGTCCATCATCTAAAAAGGCTCAAAATATGGCATTCAAAACTACTTTAACAGCAGGCTGGGGATGTAGTTAAGTGGCATAGCACCAGCTCTGCATGTACAAGACCCTGAATATGATCCCCAGTGTAGAGAAGAAAAACAGCAACAAAAATTCTATGCATACAGATCTGCTTTGTATGAGTAAGATTTTCATGGTAAAGTTCTAACTTTTCAAAGCCATGAGCCTAATACAGCAGTGCAGTACTTTGGAACCTAGGAACACCCCTCTGTAAGCCTCACCCTCCACACACAACACTATTTACAATCCACAATATGAGATTTCTTTATTCAGAATAAAGGATACTGACATGAAGGCTCTGCCCATACAAACCTGTCAACCTCAGGTTGATCCCCGGAAGCACAATGGAAGGAGAAAGCCAACTGTTGAAAGCCACCTTCTGACCTCCACATGGATGCAGTAGCACACATGTACCCACACTCTCACACACACATCATAAACACACAAGGAAAAACTTTTAACAAAACAAACATTTTACCCACTCTTCACATCTATCAGGTTTATTTAAATGGTATTATATATTTAATTACTAACACATACTACTTTCTAAGACCATGTAAAGGTATCTATCTTTAGTGAGGATGTGTAAGACTTGGAAAGGACTTCTCAGTAGAAAGGAACCTGAATCTACAGCTGAAGATAAAGAAGGTGGCCTCAGTTAAAAAGGCAAACCAAATTCATAACATATAATTCTGTAAACTTTGGGGCTCGTGTTTCTAAAATACAAGTGTCCTAAACAGGAAAAACAAAATTAAACATTGTCAATGACATGGTATAGAGCACCTCCAGTCATCTAGGCAGGGACTGAGGCAGTGTCTGGGGATATCAATAGAGTATGCACGTTGCATACACGAAGCCCTACGTTGGATCACTACATAAATTAGACATGTTAGCCCACTGTCAATACTCTAGTATTTGGGAGGTAGAGGAAGGAGGAGTTCAAGGTCAGCCTCTGATAGAGTCTGAGGCTAGCCTGAACATACATGAAGAACCTCAAAAAACAAAAATAAAAACCTAGGTCAGGTCTAGAGATGTGTCTCAATGCTTTCCTAGCACAAGTGAGGACCCAATGCATCTAAAAAAGTAAAATAAGAATGCGGTTTAGCTGCTCACCAGCTAGAGCCTAACAGATTCTTGAGAATTGTATGAACATCATATTATTGATGGAAAACAATTTTAAGATGTATTGGATAGCATGCAACTGTATAAAGAATTACACAGAGGAAGTGGAAATGAATTTAAGGAATGGGAAATCATTCACACTTATTTTTCACCCAGTTTGTATGCACCAGCTGCTTCTTGGAAACATGACATTAAAGGCACAATTTTCTTACAATCTTTACTTAACAGTATCCATTTAGTCTTACGTTTAAACACTCGGTTTGAATGAAGGGAGTCTGGCTCATACATGAAGCTCAAGTGTTCCAGCAAGGAGATGAGCAGTAGCTGGTTTGCTGCTGCGAAGGGGAACGTGGGCTGCTGTAGGGGTTCTTTTGACAGATGGAGTTCTGCTAGGACCTTGGACTCTAAGAATAAGAAAAGGGGAAAACATTATTGATAAGTGTGTCTCCTAAGGACAAAATAGCACATTTTAATTAAGACGATACAATGAAGTAACTCAAGGGAAATAATAGAGCTAAAGAGTAGTTATGGTGCATATGGTTAAGAAAGGTTTTCTGAGGCTGGGGAGATGGCTCAGTGGATATTGTGCTTGTGGTATAGGCACTGGGTTTTGGATTCCCACATTAAAGTCAAGCAGGTATAGCAACACCCCCTGTAATCCCAGTGCCTCTGAAAGGATATAGAGGATCCCTGTGGAGAGCTAGCTAGCTAAACTAGCCAAATTTGCAACTTCCAGGTTCAGTGAGAGAATACGCTTCAGTGATGCATGGAGAACAATGAGGAGATGCCTGTACCCACACACATTTGAATAAGAATACACATAAATATACATACTACATACATAAAGAAATTCCAGGACAGCCAGGTCTACTCAGAGAAACCCTGTCTTGAAAAACTGAAACAAACAAACAAAAAACCACAAAGAACTTAAAACGCTGAGATTCTGACTTAGTTGGTAGAGTGTTCACCTAGCTTACACAAAGACCTGGGTTCAACACCCAGCTCCACATAAAACCAGGTACTTAAGTGCCTGTGATTCCAGCAATGGGAGAAGCAAGAGGACTAAAAAGTTTAAAATTATCTTTGGCTAAGTAACAAGTGAGAGGCTAGCTTGGGATACATGAAACCCTAATGCTAATAAAATACTACAAAATTGCTTAAGAAAATGACATTTTTAAAAAGGCAAATAAAGGCTAGTACGATGGCTCAACAGGTAAGAAGGAAATAGGGCCCTGACTTGGTTCCTAACATCCACACCACATCAGTCCAGCTCCAGGAGGATCCTATGCCTCTGGCCTCAGCAGGCACAGGCACCCATATGCACATACCCACACAGATTCACAAATATACGTAGTTAAAAATATTTTTTAAAAGGCCAGTAGATAACTGACAATAAACAACAGACAAATCAAATAGAAACAAAGGCTGGGAAGGTTCAACTTCCTGGTCTCAGTCCCAAGTAGAAGAAGAAATATAACTAAATGGAAAAACGACTCCAAGTCCTCAAAAGTAGTAAGAAGTCAGATGCAGGTGAGAGCTGAAACAAGAGTTCCAGATGTCTGCCAAGCAAGATGTCAGTAAACACACAAGAAGCAGCTAATCAAATTCGATCTCGGGGAAATATGCTCCACCCAGCCCATCGGCAAGACAAAGGCCAAGCCTGGTGGCACAGTCCTTTTTTAATGCCAACTGCTTGGGAGGCTAAGGCAGGTTCAAACCCAAACTGAGCTGCAGAGTGAATTCAATAGGCAACTTAATGACAGAGGGCTGGCTGGGAGCATAGCTCAGTGGCAGAGCGCTTGACTAGCTTGCACAAGAGTCTACATTCAATCCTCAGTTTTGTGTTTGTGTTTTTTGTTTTTGGGTGCGGGGGCATTTCGAGACAGGGTTTCTTTGTATGCCTTTGGAGCCTGTCTTGGAACTGGCTCTGTAGACCAAGCTGGCCTCAAACTCACAGAGATCTGCCTGAATCTGCCTCCCAAGTGCTAGGACTAAAGGTGTGCACCACCAATGCCTGGCTGTTTTGTTTTTTAAAGAGAGAGAGAGAGAGAGAGAGAGAGAGAGAGTGTGTGTGTGTGTGTGTGAAACAGATTGAAGTATTAATCCAAAATAATACTTTGAAAAACCTGGTGACACCTGAAAGAAAATGAATGACTTGGAAAACAGACTCACTAACAACACATACTGGCCCATCAAAAGCACCTAAAGTAACTAGGTCCAAGAGTGAAGTTAGCAGTTCCTATAATGAACTGCTAAAGTTATATTGAGGTTTTAATTTTTCTGACTCTCTCATTAACTGGCAATGTGTGATCTCTTCAAATCATTCAGACTACCTATGAAAAGTCATTTAACAACTGGCCTTACACCTATTACAAGTGATACTACATGTTCCATAGACCTTTGTATATTAAAATACATATATAATTATATATTTATATAAAAATATATATGTTAAAAATTAACTGTGTCTGGGCAATCTAAGTCTCTTTAGAAGAAAAAAGCCAGTATGTATGCAGGACAGTATTATTAACAGGAGGAGAAAAAAATTTAAAGCTTGTCCAAGATCACTCCCTTCCAGAGTAATCTTTGGTTTGCAGAAATTCTTATCACCATGTCACAGAACAGAAGGACTTACTTGCATGTTTACAGCTGGGACGTTTCCTATGATATATACTTTCTTTGCCCTTGAGTTACAATAACATACCACTGATATGTGGGAAAATCTGCATATCCTTTTTAAAAAGTTATGTTACAAACTGTTCCCTATAAAGCCTACCTGAGTCACCACCATGGTCTGTTTTTTTCTTTTTCATTGTGGTCAACTATTATAGGAAGCATTTAAGAATGAAAATGGGAAAAACTGAATTTGGTTTATACCTCTTAACTCCACTACAACATACTTATTTCGTGCTTCAATCGAATATGTAAAGTTTTGAAATCATTCTATCGGATAGTACACAGCTAAAACCTCCTTGAATTTATGGTGTATGAAAAGGCCTCAAGAAAATTTCAGCGTTCCCACACTGCCTTGCCAGGAGAAATTATTAGTTATCCTACTCGCGAAGCAGGTCCCAGTCTAGCAGTGAACAAAGATTACGCTCAGCGACAGAAGAAAAACAAGTCGGGGCATGGGGGTGAAAAGCGCTTCTGGAAAGTGGTGCAGAATAGAGGCCAGAAACATAAATTCCCATAAGCGGGCAAATCGTAGACGCTCTTGGAATAAATATTTACCTAACCCTCAATTGACAGCCCGCACGCCGCCTCCCGATGCCTTAAAGTTCTGGGCCCGAGTTCGAGCCCCGAGGAGGCCCGGAGCCTCGGGTGGCTCTTGAGGACCACTAGCGCGGGGGGAACCCAGGCGGACAGCGAGCCCCGGGACTGCGCGAGCCATCCCCGTCTCACCATCATACTTGGGGTCCGAGACCTCTGCAGGGAAGTCGATGGCAGGGGGCGCGGCCACTGCCCCCGCCGCGTCGTCGTCCGTGTCGCGCTCGCCATCCCCAGAGCTGCCCCTCAGCATCACCGACGCTGGCAGACAGCAGACGCACTCTGCGTCAACACTGACGTTGTCGTCCTCAAAACCTTCCCCCTAGCCGGAAGTTACCCCCAAACAGACGGAAGTCCCGTCTCCACTACCGGGAAACCTCTGTCAGAGGCGGGCTATCCCTTCTTCCGGAAAGGAAACGATTGGCGGATCCAGTGCGGACACGCCCCCGAGTATTGACGAACAGGGCTGTGCAATCGAGGTCCCGCTCTGGTGCAGAAGCCCTTCTCTTTCTCCTAGCTCCCTCTCCAATCACTTTCCCCCCCCCCCCTCACCCCAACTGCCAATATGCTCAGGAGATTTTGTTCCTTTCCCCTTCTGTGAAGCACTTTCTATGAATCTCTTAGATCCCTCCTTGTATCCTAGTTTCTCTGGCGGTGTGAATTAAAGGCTGGTGATCCTTTGCTCTATGTCTAAAATCCATATATGAGTGAGTACATACCATGTTCCACTATAATGATTTATACTTTTAATTCCTCTATTTGAGCACTTGAGAGGTGGAGGCAAGAGGATCAGGAGTGTGAGTCTAGTAAATAGTGAGTTTTAGGCTGGGCTGAACCAAATAATATCCTGTTTCAAAATAAATAAACTCATTTATAAGATCTAGCTGAACTTGCTTTGATCCATGGCAGATCATAGCAAAATGGGTAATGCCAGCCAGGTTCCAAAGAGAATCTAATCTAAAGGAAATTCCTCTGGCTTTTGAGACAACTTTACAATTATTTTCAAACCAGAGTTGTTTTTTGTTTATTTGTTTGTTTATTTTGTTTTGTTTTCTTTGTGGCCCCTGCCCGTCCACCCCACCACCACCACCACCCTAGAATACTCATGGCTTGATATTCAGATTCAAAAATCCACCCTGGAGCTCAGGAGGTAAATTTGTTTGTTGCTCAAGCACAAAGACATGTTCAGATCCCCAACACCCACACAAAAGCCACTGGGTACAACCATGCATGTTATACCAAAACTTGTTGGGGGCAGAGACAGGTGTATCCCCGGGGACTTGCTGACCAGCTAGTCTACTCTAATCAGAGAGCTCCAGGTTCAATGAGAGACCCTATCTCAAAAAATAAGGTGGAGAAGGCTCAGTGATTGGGAGCACCTGTTCTTCCAGAGGACCTGAGTTTGGTGTCCAGGACCCATGTCTAGCAGCTCACAACCACCTGCAACTCCAGCTCCTGGCGATCTAAATCCCCCTTCTGGGCTCTGTGGACTTGTACACTCGTGCACTCAAATTTAAAGAGAAATAAAGTGGGGACAGTAAAGGAAAATTGATGGCAACCTAAGGCGTCCACATGTGCATGGACATGTAACATGAATATTCTACACATAAACATACAGAAAAATCTTAAGGTTTACCATCTTTGTCCTCTGGTAATCCCCCTGCTTTGGTTGCCAATGCAGAGCTGTTGGGAATAATCCACAGGAGCTCTCAAGATGGAGAGTACAGATAAATGTCTCAGTTTGGACCTTAAATGTAGTGTGGTGTGCACAATTGGTACAGTTGCCATCCTTATTTTGACATATGTTCCATACAGTGTCATACACACTGGTTTAGTCAAGCAGCCTCACTTGTGTGTGGGAAGAGAGCAGCCTTCCTGGAGAGTGATTTAACTGGATGTATCCACAGCTTTTTTTTTTTTTTTTTTTTTAAAGCTACTACTTATAACTTAACAATTCCCCTTTCAGGGACATTTCCAAAGTGAAAGGTGTCACAGGCCTGTGATCTCAGGGTCTTCGAGGGGAACCAGGAAGGTTAGGAGTTCAAGGCCATCCTAGATTGCGGTGTGCCTTTAGAGAGCAACGTGGGCTACATGAAACTGTCTCAATTGTTTTGTATTTAAAGGCTGACCAAATTATGAATATCCACACAATGATACAGTCTGTAGGCATTGACATACATTGGTATAGAGTCTCGGTGAGATGGCCCAGGGGACAGAGTGCTTGCTGTACAAACCTGAAGACCCAAGGTCAGATTCCCAGCACCTATGTCAAAGCCAGGTATACTTATTACTTTTCTGTTGCTGTGATAAACACAATGACTAAAAGCAACAGGACAGGAAAGGGTTTATTTTCTTACAGGTTACAATCCATCCTGGAGGTCAGCCAAGGCAGGAACCTTAACAGAAACCATAAAGAAAAGCTGCTTGCTAGCTTGCTACCTGTCATAGGGTGACCATGGCTGTGATGAGACACCATGACCAAAAGCAAGTTGGGGAGGAAAGGGTTTATTTGGCTTACAATTCCATATTACTGCTCATCACTAAAGGAAGTCGGGACAGGAATTTAAGCAGGGCAGGAACCTGGAGGCAGGAGCTGCTGCAGAGGCCATGGAGGAGTGCTGCTTACTGGCTTGTTCCCTATGGCTTGTTCAGCCTGCTCTTTTATAGAACATAGAACCATCAGCCCAGAGATGACACTACCCTCCATGGAATGAGCTCCCCCCCATCAATCACTAAGAAAGTACTCTGCAAGCTTGCCTACAGTCCGATCTTATGTAGTCATTTCCTAAATTGAGGTTCCCTTTTCTGATATGACTTTAGCTTGTGTCAGGTTGACGTTAAAATATTCAGCATATCTCCTAACTTACTCAGATACCGTTCGTTAATTAGTATTTATTTTTATGTTTGTCTCAGTCTGTAGTCTGGGCTGATCTGGAGCTCACTTTGTAGACCAGGCTGACCTTGAATTCATAGAGATGTACCTGCCTCTGCCTCTGGAGTACTGATAAAGGCATGTGGAACCATGGCCAGCTTCAGCTACCATTTTTATACAGCTCAGGCCTATACATATTAGAAATTAAGAAAATTCCACACAGACATGGCAATTTTTCAGATGAGGTCCCTCTCAGGGGACTCTTAAGTTTGTGTTAGGTTAACAGATGAAGTTAGTTATAACAGTGGCTCAAATTCCATGCTGTGGTGGTCAGAAGGAGACAGAAGGATCCTGGAGAATAGCTGGCCAGCCAGTCTAGCAGAAAAGGCAAGCTCTATGTTCAGTAAGAGACCCTGTCTCAAAGATGGAGTTTGATTGAAGAAGACATCCCCAATGTCAGCTTCTAGCCTCGATAAGCAACGCCATGGATGCATAGAAATGTCCAGCATTAACGAGGACATGAGTCTCAAAAGCGCGTGCGCACACACACATGATGGGAGATGTCATTCTGTATATGTTTCTCATACTGGTTAATAATAAAGCACTGTTGGCCAATAGGAAAGGAAGATAGGAGGGACTAGGAGACAAGGAGGAAATAAGAAGTAGTAAGGAGGAGTCAAGATGGAGAGTCTGGAGAAAGCAGTATGCTGCAGGCTCCCCGGTAAGAGAAGTACATAGATCAGCAGAAATGGGTTAATACTTAAGGCAGAGCTAGCCGATAAGAAACAAGTAACCGGGCCAACAACATTGTATCAAATACAGAGTCTCTGTGCATTATTTGGGGCTTGTGCGGCGGCGGGACAAGACTGGCGGAAACCCGTACTCCTTACACACACACACTCTGATATGAGCTTGAGGTAGATCCATAGATCTCAGTAGTAGAACACTTGCCTAGCATGTACAAGGCCCCATCCCCAGCACTGAGAAAAAATTACCCCTCCTTTTTAAATTTGAAAAGAAAACATTGGTGTGCAGTGTTTGGCCCATGCTAGCTTTTCACCATAAGTAGAAGTATCCAGCATTAATGAGGCCACGAGTAAAAAGTCAACACTTCCAAGTGAGCATACAAAGAGAAGCAGACTTTCTAGAAGACAATATGCAACTCACACCACAAGCGCCTAACAGTTTCAATTTCACCCATTCACAGGTGTCTATCCAAAGGAGATCACTAGACTGTCAAGTTAAGATAAATCTGTGAGAAAATTAATCAAAATGTAGTCCTTTTTAATTTTGGTTATATGCATGAATGTTTTGCCTGCATGTTTGTCTATGCACTACTTGTGTGCCAGGTTCTCATAGAGGCCAGAAGAAGACACCCTATGCCCCTGGGACTGGAGTCACAGATGGTTATGAGCTGCCATGTGAATGCCAAGAACCAAACATGGGTCCTCTGGAAGAGCAGCCAGTGTTTGTTAACCACTGACCCATCCTTCCAGCTCCAACCTGTTTTATTATTTTTGTGGCTGTATGTGTAGGGGTGGGGGCCCCACAGTATACAGATGAAGGTCAGAAAATGATTTTGTTTAGTCAGCTCTCTCTTTCCACCATGGGGGTTCTTGGAATCAAATTCATTTTGCCAGGTTTGTTCAGCAAGAGTCGTTATTGGCTGAGTCATGTCACCAAAGTGTGGTTTTCAATACAAAAGCAATGAAGTAAATACAAATAGAAGAGTAGTCACAGCACATGAGTGTACCTTCCTGAGGACACTGCAAAATTGATAAGGCATGCTTCTCTCTTTGTTTCCATGACAACATGCTCCTCTGGGTTTTTCTTTCTTCCTTCCTTCCTTCCTTCCTTTCTATTTTAGTGATTCCTCCATCTCAGTACCCATTATTGAATCTTTGTCTCCAGATGTATAAACTTTGTAGGGCTCATGTAATCTGTCTCCAAATTCAATTAAGTGAATAAGATACATTACTAAATCACTCCAGCCATAGTGGCACATGCTCATAATCCCAACACATCAGAGATGGAGGCAGGTCATAGTCAACTACAAGAGAACTTGTCTCAAAACATATCCCACAAATAAAGGTGCTGAAGAGCATGCTTTTGATGGTGTTTAATAATAATATTACTGGTTTTATAATAGCAAATTTTAATGGCCCAGGATCTGTGATGGTTAATGTCAACTTGATGGGATCTAGAATCATCTAACAGATGAACCTCTAGGCAAGGAATTCTCTGGATTAAGGTTAGCCTCTGAGACTGTCATTAAGGGATTATGTAGATTAATTGTGTCATGACTCCATAAATGGCACCATTTTCTGTGGGCTGGACTGTATTAAAAGAAGAAAGTGATCTGAGTACTGGTATTTGCTGTTCCCTGCTTAAACACATTTATTTAATTGGTTTATTGAGACAAGGTT